TTTCCTGGTTGATACTGAGATTGACACAGACTCGGGGGTGGGTCTTTTGTAAGATTTTGTAACGGATGGTTTTGTTTGAGTGTCAAGAGATTTCTATGCTGTATAAAGTATTTTAAATATTTATACTGAAACCATTATGTGTCTGTCTGGTCTTTCAAATGCACCTGCTTACTGTCTGGTTTCATTTGTGCACATCATGACAATATATGACTTTTTAAAAATAGCTAAGAAAACAGAATTAATACACTAAAATTACAATAATTACATAAGTAATTCCACAGAATCCAAATTTCTTGTTCAGTTATGTAGAATTTAAACAGAGCCTGAGGCATATAATGTATTCCTAAAGCTCTCCGCTCCACTTAATGAAGAGTGGCCTCTCTGCTATGGAAGGGCCTATGTTGCTTTACAACCTCAATGTGCCACTTGTCTCACATACCATATTCATTTCCCACGGGACACCTGTGCTAGGAAAAAAAAAAAGAAAAACACGCCCTTGCAACAGCTGAAGGATCCTTAGGACTGACATGCACATATCACAACCCCTCCTTTTTCACACACACACACACACACACTATAGACACTAATCTACTCAGCTGTGGCTCCCGCGCCCCCATCATAAACCTCTTTGGGTGACACTGCCCTGACGAGACAAAGGGGGATCACCAGAGCTCTGAGACAAACACACACAGGACAACACAAACAGGAGCGGCCGATTAAATCGGCGTGGCTAAGCTGATAAAAAAAGCTGAGGGGCAAGAGTGGCTCTGAAATGCATTAGAGCCGGAGCCTTTTGTTTATCAAGGACAGTTAGTCAAAATCCGCAGGCAGTCCGGCTGAGGCCATGAATACTCCGACTTATTCAAAGCGCTGAGCGAAAGGATAGTGTACAGGACATGTACAGGTGTCAGCTGTAGCCAAGTGTTCAGTACTGCTCTGGTGACACCTGTTGTGTCACACACCCAACATATGAATTACTTATATGATTACTACAGTGCGAGGCTCATAGAAAGCCACCTCATGTGATGATTATGTTTTAAGAAACACATCAGATAGGTGAGGGATAGTGATGGGGAATTTTAGATGTGATAAATTAATTTAAGCAAAAATGTAAAACAATACCTTCTCGAATATGAAGATTTTCTGCATTTCTCTGTTTGATATCAATGTAAATCTCATTCCTTTGGGTTTTGAGCTGCGGAAATAAAACTGTGACATTTTCACTGCTTTTACAGATTTGGTAGATTAAACTATTATTTATAAAATGTAACAAACAAATAATGAAAATGTATGAAAAAATTGCAGCCTTAGCCCGCCTTTTAGAGATTATGAATTTGGAGGCAGGTTGTTAATCTATGTATAACCTCAGGAAGCATTACTGGAAGACATTCACAATGACGAGATAAAGACAAAAAAAATCATTTTCCTTGACGCACAGATTATTTCAATGTTAATCTGTGTGTAAACGGGTCAAATTAAAAACAAACATCCAGCCCATTGTCCCAGCAGAGGCAGCATTAAATTTATATTTTTCATCATAATCATATCAGGGGAATATTAATATTGTGAATCGTGACAAACTATTATTATAATTGTCCAAAACAAAATGAAGCAGTATGTCAGATTTCTCCAGGAATGATTTATGAAATAAGTGGGATGCCGGATTAACATGCTTGATGGGTGATTTTTCAAGCCTGGACAAAATATTTTGATCTATTAATATTTCTTATGCCATACATCTTGACACACACTGACACATCTTGACACATCTTGACACACCCTTGAGGTTGAGATTGAAGAGAGAATTTGCCTTGAGAGCACACATATGTCACACCCTGGAGACAAGTTGGCTCTCCTTCCAAATTTCAAAACATTTAACAGCCAATCTCTTCTGTGTGCGCTCTATCGGCATTCAATATCTGATAACCTGACCAATGGCACTTATAAACGTCCATCAGAGACTTTGACCGCACAAAAATCATGTCTTAATATTCAAATCACTTTTAATGTGAGGCCAAACTGACCACTTAGTGTAAAGCAGGACTTTGTTTCTGTCAATCTGTTCGGGCTTAGATCCTGATGACACTAATCCCGTTTTCAGCCCCCTTCTCGTCACATATACGCACAGACAGACTCACACTCACACCAGGGTGTCACTGGCAACAGGATGAGTCTTTGTGTCTGAAGGAAACGGACGACTAACCTGCTACACAGTGACAGAACATTAGGGATGTGCAAGCCCGCCCCACGCACTCATACACAAACAACCTGAGCATCCTGGTTCAACCTCACAGACCAGTACTGCCTTCCTCAGCAGCTCTCACACATGCAGAGGACGAGGAGGAGAGAGTGAGACACATTAGGGACCTGGCAGATACCGGCGTACACAAAGACATGGTGGGGAAATAAACAAGCAGATGTTTCTAATGAAGTAGGAGCCTTTGAGCACTCAGAGGGGATTTGGGTTATTCCGTTAGACGGGTCTCTGACTGGACGGCTATCCAGTTGGATCCCAGACACAGATGAAGGTGATTAATGAAATGAGAAGGCTGTGGCTTATCGGAGATTTCACGCTTTCGCCACAGAGGTGCGGTCAGTAAAAAACATAACTGTTTCCCAAATGCTCTTGACTCCAAGATCATCTCACACTGATTCTTAAGATTAACTTGGGAAATTTAACCTCCCAGATGAAGGGGTTTACTAATTGACCTTCCATCTAGTCTGTCTGACTGACTCAAAGACAAAGATGAGACCAGACTGTCGTAATGACTTTAGATCTAAGATTTTGGTGAAACATATGTCAAGCAACCAACCACGTGAGGAAATCCGTAGCTGCGATGAACTAAATCAAAAGTTCAGTTGGGTTCTCTACCAGACAAAGGGTCTTTTTAGTTAAAGTGGATAGTTTGTTTATAGTTGATATGTTTTATCATTTTTAACATATTTTCAAACAGAAATAAACAAAGTTAAACATTTGTTCTGGAATACTCTATTACATACAATATATTGGGATTTACATAAATGCACCATGTAAATAAATGTATGTTAACAAAGAATAATATTTGAATTTACTTGCTGAAATTTGACTTGCACAGCGCAGATAACATAACTAAATGACACTGTTATGGAACACAATGTGACATAAGTGCTGTGGAAAATCAAGAGTTAAACCAGGAATTCGTCATAAACCAGCAAATAGCAACTGGTGGGGTGTGGTTCTTTTGTCAGGGGGGGAACCAAATATTGTGATGGGAAGGCAGAAATGTGCAATTAAATGAAAGGAAAAAAGTGCTGATAATAATTGTGATTATTAAAATGAGGTATTTTCACCTTTTAGTTTACAAAACCCCAGGCACATACACCTCAGAATGTAGTGCCAGAAAAAAACAAAAACATTTATTTTCTTCATTGCTCACATAGTTACAGAACCAAAGCTGGCACTGAATTTAGGTCTATTAAACCCCTAAAAAAGAAACAATTTCCTTCTTACAAAAAATCATTTTCATTTCAGAAAGACCCAACATATTTTATAAGTTGGCACACAGGTGGCACTCCTTGAGATATGTTTTCTCTCAAAAACAAGATCAGAAATTCAATCAAAGAGCAGAGCTCAGCCAATAGGATTTCAGTGTCTGTGGCAACAGCAGCATCAGTTCGAGCAGCCATTGGTCCGATGTTTCACACAGGGAAGACTGTAATTGGCTGACGGTGTGCAGAGGCTTCATTGCCTCCATGGCAACATTCCTTCCTTATTGCTTAGGGAAGGTAAAAAGAAGGGGAGGCGACTTTCACTCAGACACTACCTCTACATTATTCATCCTTTGTCCCCGAGTGCTTGCAGAATGTGTGTAGATGTACTGACTGATGCATTTGTGTGTTTCTATGTTGCTCTTGGTTGGCGGTGATTGGTTGAGACTTAAAGGGGTGAATGGGGTGAAACCGGTGCAATAATTGCACTCGGCAGTGCAATGCATCCAGCAACACTATGTCTATATATAAAACAGCTAAATGAGTTCAGAGGCCGTTCAGTGAGCCATACGCAGTGACACTCACTGCAAACACAGCTACTAGCCCTTGAGCTTTTATTGGTCTGAATGGAATAACCAACAAACGGAGACATATTCTCCAAAACGAGCCTGTTACAGGGCGTAACAGCACACATCTGGACAGCGGACTGGCCGGCCAGCTTGCATCATCCATTCTCTGTGTTGGATGCACGCAGGCACCTCATCCTTAAGCGAGGACTGAATGAAGACAACACCACCAACCCCACCACCAGAAACAACAAAAAAACACGCGGCTTGTTTGTTGTTGTTGTTGTTATGACTTGTTTCCCCCAACAGTTGAGGGAGGGGGGTGGAGAAGGATGGTGCATGGGTGGGGTTGGCAGAGAGAAAAACATCACACAGAGATTAGGGTGGAGGGAGGTGGGGGGTTCATTCAGGACTCCTCCCCCGTGTATGTGTCTGAGCATGAGCGGGGGATAACGTCTGTTGACAGGCGCACCGGCCAGCGAGCTGGCTGGCAGTGAACACGATGACGAGATGGCAACAGGCACTCAGCGTAGCACGTGCTCTCAGTTGCCATCGCAACCTGCCCTTGGATACAGCGTGCTGGTTGGCCATTTCTAACTGTTGTTGTTCTGTGAGGCTGATGAAACCTCGTGGATGAGGGAGGGCAAGCGGTACAGCTTGTAGCAGCTTTCCCGCCTTGGTAGAAAGTGTTGCTAGGCACATTAGAGGTCAGATGGTAAACAAACACTCTGCCTTTAATATATAATCACCACCAAAGACCTTTAACTTGTCGTTTAACTCTTAAATCCAAGAAATGCTTCTAATTAGACAAAGCAGGATGAGCCACTGATCCCCTACAATCTTACTGCACAAAGACAAAGAAAAAGAAACATTTAAAAAGATTATCCCAACAGTGTTAAGTTGTCTTTGATTGAATCATTTACATAAAACTGACAATACTGAATTAAAAAAAAATAATAATTTCAATATTGAAAACAACAGAATACTTTATTACACCAAGACAATAAGACATAACAAGCTTGTACAACTGTGAGCAAACAAAACAAATATAAACAAACCAATAATTAGCCAATGTGATAACAACTTAATGGATGCAAATCAGTCCTAGCAATTCTGGCAATATTTGAGAAAACACAGAAGTCTTTGGATGATTCCCAAGTTAAAAATCATCCAATAATGTGATGACAGACAATATTAGAAAAGAGTTTGGGAAGAATGTAAAAACCTTGTTTTAATACAAATTCCTCAAATGTTATTCAATTCTGGCCACAACATGGCAATGAAAAGCACATATCTATCAATGCTTCAAGGCTCCATGCTTGAGGAAGAGAACAAAGAAAGTGTGTGTGTGTGTGGCCTTGGGTGGCCAGATCAATATGGCATTGTGCTGAGTGAGCAGCCTGCCTGATGAAGTCCTGCACAAATAAACGTTCGGCTCATGGCGTCCGTTCACTCTGCCCTGACACATACAGAGAAGATGGTGCCGTGAGCCACAGGAGCCGAGCTGACAACATGATTGATTACATGCGCAGCCAGTCTTTGTTTCACCAACGGTAATCAGGACAAAGCGTAGAAGCTGTGTGTGTGTGTGTGGTTGCTTGTGCAGAAGGTGAGGCTAGCACAAAGCGTGTAACTAAGGGAATATGGATGAGATGAAACTTAGAGTAGGAAGTGTTAATGTAAAAAGGTAACTGCGAGGAATGAGGACACTAAATCCTCCTCATGTTAAACACCTGTACAAAGCACCCACCCAGACAAGTTGGCGTCCATCACTGTCATGCCTCACATCCCTCCTGAAGGCCAGCTTCGATCTCTTCCAGCCTATGTGCCATGGACATCACCAGCATTTTCATCTGGGAAAGATGGGGGGGGGGGGGTCAGGCAAGATTGAAGGGTAAAGTTTTGAAAGGTGCGAAGTTCGGGATATGAAGATTAACAGCAAGGGCAGAAAAATGAGTCAAGAGTGAGGGTGGAATAGCAAAGGGTGGAGGATGAAGGATATGAAAGAGTGAGAATGGGGAAGAAGCGAAGGAGAAAATGGACAGGTGGGAAATGACGGGAACAGCAGGAAGCAGTGAGGAAGAAAGACGGGAGGAGTAAAGATAATTTAAAAAAGGGAGAGAGGGAGGGAGAATGACAAAACCCAGAGGGTAAATGGTCAGGGATGGGTGGGTGTAAAGAGGGGAGGGAGAGTGGGAGGGCAGGGGGAGACAGGTCTGTGAGTGTACAAGATGAAAAACCCAAACAAGTGTCTAACAGTCAGTCAGACAGACAGAATACATTAACTATGGCGGCAGGGGCGACAAGCACCTTCATCATATACAGTAAAGCTGAGGACAGAGAACACTTGAGTGTGGGGCTGGGTATCATTTAAAATTTGATTACTAGCGATGATATACGACTTGTAACTATACTGCAACTGGAGCAAAACCTTCCTTTAATGCAACTGTAGGCAATTTATTTCAGAGGCATGTTATATTATATTGTTTCACAGGAATCAATAAATCAAATGCTCTGCTGACACAAAAATGAAATCAATCCTGTATCTGTGGCTGTCACAAGACTGTAATAAATACCTGGCCTAACCGCCTGCTTGCACGCACCTGTGAGTGGCGTTGGAGCGAGGCCTGAAGGTTGGGGGATGAGATTTTTTTTCAGTTGGATACTTTCAAAAATCTAGCTTTCTCTTGCTGGTTTCGTTACACATTACATACCCTGGCTTCAACAAGAAGAAAAGTTTTTCTACAAAACCATTTTTTTCAGATTAATTGATTAATCTTTAAAAAAAAAGCTGAAAAAATAAGAAACTATTTGATCAGCAGCTTGCGATACGTCTTTTATTGCGATACGTCTTGGAAACTGTTATTGGGAATCAAAAAGTATTGAATTTCGATACCTACAGGGGTTTGCGTAGGAAAAAGCTGTTTACATACCATAGTGAAAATGTTACTGTATACTTTGACAAGAAAACAGTCTGGCATAACAGCTTTGGACACAAATTTAACCACAACGCAGATGGGAAGAAATGAAAGTAGTAGTTGTCAGTAAAAAAGCCTTCATGTTTATGCTGACAGACATGATGACAGAAGGCACGCAAAGGCCTTTATAATCTTGTTACAATGCGCCAACGGTTAACAATGAATAGATGGCTATAAAACCAGCTAAAATTAATGCAATCAATGCGTAGCTATAGCCAGATTAATCTTCAGCCTACTCACATGGGGACTAAACACAGTCAACGACAAGATGGATTTAAGTGGTAACCTACATATTAACCAAAGGGAATATGAGGTAAGCCTGTACATTTCATTATACGGCGCCCTTATGGGCCCAGCGGTAACATTGCATGAGATGAACTAAATGGTTGATTTATTTTGGAAAGTCACAACTATTGAACATAAGAGATAAGATAAACTATCGGAGTCACAGGCAGAGTAATGTGAGTGTAATGTGTTAGCACACAAAGTACAACACTAAACACAAACATGAACCCTCCATAAGGGCTTGAAAACACATCTAATGCTCGTGCAATGTTTTGTTTTTTTTTTGTCTTAGAAGCAGCATAACCTTTTTAAATTTACTCTTGCGTAGAAAAACATCTCATAACATAATTAGTCAGTTGTCACCTGCAGGGAATTCCATTGCCAAGCAAAAATAAAATACCTCACTACATCCAGCTAAAGTGACAAAGACACTTCATGATCAAAACATGTTTTTCCACTAGCAAAGATTCCTCAACATGCTTCCTGCACATCTATTGTCCTTGGTGCAAGTGTGTGGGAGGGCTGGCAGGTACTCATGCACACTATCACCACCTACTGGCCAATCTGCAGTTTCACTGATATTTTTTAACAAAGGATGATTTGGAAGAACTTTGGGAATCACTTCACTATTCCAGGGAAAAATGTAAGTACCCTCTAGATTGTCATAATAACAATAATGTTAATTAATAATAAAACTGATGTGACAGAGAGGAAGATAATTCAAAACTGAAATATATAGAAAATTATGAAAATAAATGAATATGGATGTTGAGGCTGACATTTAAAGGAAATATACTTCTTTATTTTAATCTAATCTAAAGTGGGATTGACAATAAATCAATTTGCAGGGGATGACATGGCTAGATGAGGTAATGTCTGATATAAACGTCTGCCCGCCACAGAAGCAAGGGCTTCCCAGAACAAAGCTGATGTCATCAGTAGTACAACCTCTGCATTGATAATCAATAAGCGAGAGCAGCTCAATATCAATGTGAAAGCACTGTCAGCACGACAACTGAACAGGGACCCCTGCCATAACTGGCACTATGTTCCAGATCTATAGTTTTTTATAATTTTGTTTTCACAATTTTAATGATTAACTTTACCTGTGTTGGGAGAAAAAGTCATGGTCACACATTGCAGTGAGTTTTAGAGTAGATATTCTGCTCAGCGGATGAAACATTTTATCTCACAGCAATGCAATATCTGAAAAAACACAGACAAAGAAAAGCAGCAGCAGTAAATTACCTCTGTCAGCTGTTGTTCAACAATGCCTCTGTACTCGAGGGTGACCGGCTGCTCTTTGGGGCCCTCTGCTGCTAACATCTGGCTTGCAGAACCAAGCACATAGCTGGAGAAGATTCACAGTAGAATATTAGGATGTTTAATGCAAGTACAGGGGTGATACGTACCATTTAAACCTGCACAAGTAAGGAGATACAATACAATGTCCCAAACATAAACACTACCTGAATCTTATCGCATTCATTTTTGTTGAAGCCGTATTTTTTTCACATCTCTCATCTTATTTTCAACTGAATCGAGCGAAGGTGAACCTGCATGCTTTTCAAATTCTTTTCAAATAACTTCACAGGTGTACAACCTTACACAGTCATGTTTGATCATTACACTTTCTTCAGAAATTCATCAACATCACATTAATTAAACAAATGCAAACTGATGTGTCTTTAAACAATCTTACTAATAGCCCAAGCCCTAAACATACCTGTCGATGTCTGCTACATTGAAACAGAACGTAAATCTCTTGTGGTCCAGGTTCTTAGGCGTGGATGTGTAAACCATGCCAAGCACAGAGTGGCAGCCTCGGCAAATTAGATCCACAATCAGACTGCGGAGGGAAAATTACAGAAAAGGGAACAGTTTAGCCCAAATCATACAGTGGGGCAGACTTGATCCAACAAGTGCTTATATATGCTTATGTATCTATATGTATGTATTATGTATGTGTCTGCTATTCCCTGTTGTCCCCACCTTCCATCCCCCTTCTCTTGCAGGTCTTGTCCTTTCTCTGTGCTGCCTGTTTGTGCCCCCCTATCCCCGTGTTTGCCCCCCTGTCCGGCCCGGTGACAAAGGAGTATATTAATACTCTCTTGTTAAAGTAAAATCTGTCTGGCACAATATGGTATCCAGCTCATCATACTCTATACCAGGCTGCTGGGCAGGACATGTTTAAAAAAAAAAAAAAAATGCTTATGTACAATACTGTAATTTTTTTCTGGGAGTTGAAAAAGGTGTGGGGCATGCCCAGTGGTGTAATGTTACTAAGTATATGTATTCAAGTGCTGTATTTAATGCAATTTAGAGGTACTAGTACTTATTATATTATTATTCCACTTATATATACACACTATATAGTACTTATAGTCACTTGTTACTTTGCAGATTAAGATTTCACATACAAAATATGATGCATCATTATAGATTAAAACTAGCTAACAATATATAAAGTATTTAAAATTAGACGCTCCCACTCTATATAACATTGCTTACAAAATGAAACATCAATTATAATAATGCAATAATATATAAGATATAACTCTGACGGGGCAATCTTTTGACACACTTTTTGGACAATTAAAAACATTTTACTGAAATAACTCATTTATAATGCATCCCCTTTAAATGCAATGGCATACCTTTACGCTGCTGTATTGGTACTTTTACTTGAGTAAAAGGATCTGAATACTTTCTTACCAGAGAGATCTTTTGCCCATTTCATACAGACGATTGTCCTTTCCAACCAAGACGTTGTCAGTGACCCCTAAGACCAAAACATAACAAACATGTCAGCAGAAATTTATTCATAAAGTAGCTTCCAAATATGTTAACTCCCAACCTCTATTAACTTACAACTGAATTTAAATGCTGTACTTAACTTACTTAGCTTACTAACTTACTCACTAACTTTCCAGTTAGCAGTTTGTCATCCACAGTAGATTATATATATATATATATATATATATATATATATATATATATATATATATATATATATATATATATGTTTAGGGTAGGTTTTTGTCGGGGCCGTAAAACTTAAGTAACTTTACATAACGTTATAATCTTAGGTGAACTGGACACCTTAATTTTTCGTTACAAATCCCAAAGTGCTCTTGTTTTTCTTTAAGATGTTTTCTCCACCCTGAATAACGTTATTCAGTTCGGGCGAGAAAAGAAGAAATCCAAGCAGTCTAAAGTCCAGACTCACGCTTCAATCTTATTTGGTTTTGGCCGTCTTCACTTCCATCCCAGGACAGTGAATCCCCAACAGGCAACTTGCACTTCCCGCAGATGAAGACAACAGGTCCGTCGTCGCTGTCCTCGTCCTCTTCTGCGTGGCCAAACAACTTTTCTCCGACGGCAGTGGAATCTATACTGGACGCTTCAAACGTGGCATTTATGTGTTTCTGTCTGTGTTTCAACGACTTTTCTCTCGCCGCCATTTCTACTAACTTCTCCCAAACAAGCTGCTTCGAACTTACGCGGGTGTTTGACAGTGAAGTGGTGATCCCCGAAGTATCCAGACAACGCGAGATGCAAAGTTCTGTGTACTTCCGCCTTTGTCTGTTAGAGTAGAGACAAACCCAGATGCTTTGTGTTCTTCCTTATTGGCTTAATGTAATTAAATTCTTTCAGAAATATGAGTGAATAAATGCGTGTCCACATTATTTTATATTTTATTTATACTCAGGATGTTTTAAAATTGTTTTTTTTATTTAGGAGCAGTTGGCTTTTATAAATTAAGATATTTTTTAAAGAGTAGCCTAGTTAGTTGTAAAGAGTCATAAAACCTGCATTTACAAATCTTAGCCAACAACCATCCAAGGGAAAACTAAGTATATCATATTTATTGTTGCAACACTAGGGAGTATAAACTAGTAGTGATAAACTATGTGATTTTATACATTTGTTAAACACCAATAAAATCTGAAAAGCCAATCCCAATTTTGTGTGACCATCTACTGTTTTGTAATGTTTTGTTTTCAGATGTTCATTTCCAAAACCGCATATGAACATACTAAACATACTAACAAAATTAATGTAGGCCTACATGATGAAAGAGCCAAGCTATGTCTCTGGACTTTATTGATTTTACCCAACAGACATGGGGAATCAGTAAGAACCAATGAAATAATTAAATTTTGATCTTTGTTGGTGGTGCTGCTTTCTTTCTTCTTTTTTCTGTTAATAGACCAGTGGGCTATGAATTATGCGGAATATTTATTTATTTTATATATACCAATGACAGATGTTTGTGCTGTATATGAATATTGATATTGCATTAATGAGATGTTTTCTTCTCTTTCTCTGCTGTATCAAATAAAAATATTTAAAATAATAAACCAGATACTATTGATTTATTAATTTAGTCATTACTCTATTAATAAATAAAATACACATAAAACTGTTTCCAGTGAGAGGCAAAAGGTGAAAGCTAAAGGGACCCGACATGAACTATCTTGAACTGATCGTTATCTCTGGGAGTCTACAGGAAACGTGAACCGGATACACTTTCTCATTACCAGCATTTATTGTATTTTAACTAATTAATGAATTAGTGAGCTGTTTTGCTTGTATTTATTGAATTCAGCAATTTATGTGCTATCTATTTTTATTGTGTTTAAAAAAAGTTAATCGTTGCTGTTTCCAAACGCAGCGAGAAGTAACTCCGCCTCTCATTGGCTGGTAACCAGGAAGTCATCAGAATGATTTTGGGGGCGCGAAACCAGATAGAAAATTTCTTTTCTCTTTTTCATTAAAGGCTACTGGACCATGTAAACGTTTTAAGAACCTAGTTGCTGTGGTTTCTGTTGCCTTTTATTCGCCATGTGTGAAAAGATCACTAAGGTAATGTTCGGTGTCTTTCTAACATTATAATATATTGCAGTGACGGTCGTTTGGCTTCTGTTTCACCCTCTTTCCTGTCGCTCCTCAGGTGAACCGCTGGCTCAGCACAGTGTTTGGAGATCAGCCGGTGCCACACTTTGAGGTCAACACAAGGACAGTGGACATACTGTACCAGCTGGCACAGTCCAGTGAAGCCCGGTGCAGTGACACAACGCTCCTCATTGAAGACCTCAAACAGAAAGCATCAGAGTATCAGGCTGAAGGTGATTAACTAACAGATAGCAGAGTTAAATGCAGTGGTTTTTATGCAAACTGGGTATTAGTTGGTACATTAAGAAGACTACCTGACAGTATGAGCCAAAAGAAACGCTTATTTTAAAGGATAACTCTAGTTTATTACAACTTGGTTCATATTTGAGTAGATTTAGCCATCCTTTATCCTAGTTATAGCAACAGATTATTCGCTAAAGTAATTGATGAGATCTGGTAACACAGTGGCATTGCTGCGATAAGGTCTGATGAGGCAAGGCACACGATTGATTAGAGACACAGTGTTACCAGTTCCAAAATGTCTGTAATGATTGTTACTATGATTACTATGATCGTCAGATTACTTGTGTTTCTTGTCGCATGAACTTGCAATGGGGCCACCCAGATCTCAGTAATTAACATGAGTACAGTGAGTACAATGTTATAATTACTTGGAATGATGGCCACAACTACGAAAATGAGACCCAGGCTGTTACACACCTTTAATAGGCTGATTCAGTCTTGAATCACTTCACTTTACTGTATACAGTTAAGTCAAGTGTAAGATAACACTGTTGACCATTAATTCACGCCACCGTCTAGGTGCTCATCTCCAGGATGTTCTTCTACAAGGTGTTGGGCTGTCCTGTGCAAGCTTGTCAAAGCCCGCTGCTGACTACTTGTCTGCTTTAGTGGACACTGCCATGGTGCTTGGAGTCAGAGACACATCCCTGGGCAGGTACACTGTCGTTGTACTGTTGAAGAGTATTTTCTCTTTCTATTATCTTGTCAGTTAGGGTTAGGTAGTAAGTTACTATTGAGAGATTTTACAGAAATGTGTATGTCTTTTCTAGCTTTATGCCAGCAGTGAACAACTTCACCAATGAACTTCTGGAAGCAGAGAAGTCCAACAGGAGACTTGAGAGGGAGCTCAGGGCCCTCAGGAAGAGACTTGGGGCTACTCTGGTACTGCGGAGCAACTTACAAGAGTAAGAACATGGATGCAGAGGATGACTTTGGCATGTTGACATTATTACTGCTTTGTACCATTGTCAAAGTAAAAACAAATCCACAGTCCTTGGCTATCAAATACTGTGTGTAGGCAAATGTCAAAATCCAGTCATAACAGACATAAACCATTTGCTGCTACATCCTGTACGTCATCAGTATTTTTAATTGTCTACAGGGATATCAACAAAACTGTCAAATCTCAGGCAGTGGAGAGTGCTAAAGCGGAGGAGAGAGCGCTCAAAATGGATTTTGTGACAGCAAAGGCTAAAGAGCTCAGCAACAGATGGGAGAGTGCAGAGGTATGTTTTGATTTTATACCTTTATCTGCTGCATGCTGCACGTTAAGTTGTGCATTAAGGTGCTGGTACATGGTACAATATACTGAAAATGTCCAGATATTTAAGAGTGCTTCTTTTAAATTTTGCTCTGTTTCGTATAAAATATTCATATCTTATTGGGAGCGTTGCTCTGGGTGAGAAGGTACTAATGACAACTTGCTATGCAACCTGAAGAGGCATAAATTATTAGTGTCCTCTGTCAGTTTGCGATGGGAAAGCTAATATGCTATGGAGTTACCAGTTTTATTTTGCTAAGAAAGACAGACTGTAGTTTGACCCAGGTATAATGTGTGCATCAGGTTACTGCCTCTGAATTAGAGCACAGAGATGATGCTGCGGACAGGTCCAACAGTTAACGCCCCTTGTGTCATTGTCTGGATATTCTAAATATGACATCCAAGACTGAGCTCTGTAATGGAGTTACTGTAGGTTGGCTGTTTTATTCTGTTCTATCAATCCTGCAGGCTCAACTTGTATCCAGGAACATGGACAACTCCATCACCCACCAGGCTATTGTGCAGCTCTCCGAGGTAATTTCTGTTGCCAACACATGCACCACTGTCAAGCACCATAGTAATGAAAACGTAACACTTTCTGCTTTCAGATTTTGAAACGTGTCCTCTTTATTTTTCTCTCTGTAGAAAGTCACCACGCTGAAACAAGAAATAATCCCCTTGAAAAAGAAACTGGAGCCTTACATGGACTTGAGCCCAGTATGTTTGTCTCACAACAGTCCAACAACCAAAAAGGGCTTCACATTATTCTTAATATTTTTGCAATAGCAAAAAGTATTTTGAACCCTGTGGAATTATCTGGATTTCTGCATAAATTGGTCAGAAAATATAATTTTGCTTCAGATTTCCTCTTCTTTAAGTTTGGATTTGACATAATACCTTATTATTTCAATTAAAAGTACAGAAACAAATGTATATGTGACACAAAAGGCAATTTTTTATTATATATGTTTGGCTGGTGGATTTTTTTCATCTAACAGCAACCTTGGCAGGTGAGCAAAAAAGTTAATTTCCACCCCTAGTGACTTCCTCCGTGGTGTGTGTTTTTTATAGGGCAGCTCTAACCAACACCTCCAACCTCGTCTCATTAATTGGACTCCAGGTTGGCTGACTCCAATTAACCTAGGGGTTCACATACTTTTTTCCACCCTGCACTATGAATGTTTACACAGCGTATTCAATAAAACATATAATTGTGTGATATTAGTTTAAACAGACTGTGTTTGTCTATTGTTGTGACTTAGATGAATATCAGATCACATTTTATGACCAATTTATGCAGAAATCCAGGTAATTCCAAAGGGTTCATATACTTTTTCCTGCAACTGTAAATGGGTGAATCATTTTTAGATATTTGGAGCTACTACTTTATGTTTCTGTATTTGGCTTCATGAAATGTTTTTACCTTCTAACAGAGCCCATCTCTTGCTCAAGTGAAAATAGAAGAAGCGAAAAGAGAACTGGTGAGTATCTAAACAGTTCATTTAATGATTGATGAGATGTGCTTGCCTTCTTTTTAGTTTAATGCCATTTTGTTTGCTCATTTCCAGGCTGCAATTGATTCCCATCTTGAGATGAATATGGATTTCAATTGAAGATGTTTTGTTGTTTTGTACAATTGTAAGCAATTAATTCCACTCTTTGTCGTGTGTTGCAGCAGCCATTCCGTCTGCTCTAAAGACAAAAAAAGTTTGGGGAATTAAAATCAAAATGTACTTCTTTCAGTAAAAACTGCTCTTCTTATGCAACTTACCAAAACTGCAATGTGCAAAGTCACTTAAAACTTCCAAACAACTTTTATTAAAGGCCATCAGTGTCCTTTTTCTGTGTAAATTAAGGCATTATGAGCATTTCTGATTACAACTTCCTGCTTTAAACCTTTTTAGAGCTTGAAATCTTTGTTACGCTGTATCTATATTTGTCTTTCAGAATCTGTTGTCATTAGGAAGGCATTTTATACTGGTTGCATTTTTTACAATTGTGCCCCCTTCAAACAAATCATATGACTGTCTCCCTCTTTTGAATGTTGTAAGTAAATAAAGCAACCTCCCTAGACTGGGAATGTGAGCTGATTTCTTTTAAAGGACTTGCACTTAAAAACTTGAAATATTTAGATTTGTGAGCAATTCAAGCCACAATCAAAGAGAAAGTGTAAAACATGACCTTTCTTTCTTTTGGTTGAACCCATTCGGGTTTATCTCCTCCTCCTTCCCGTTTATTACAAAACACCATTAACGCTAATCAAATGTTTTGTCTTTATTTTTCTTGTCTCTGCTATCACATTGAGGGGTCGTGTTTCCATTTTGAACAAGCTTTAACAACATGTCGTGAGAATTTTTCTTTAATCAAGTTCGTCTGCGAGATGCATATTGATTATCCAAACGTAATTCAAACATTGTCTGCCTAAACATAAGTGCTTTTATTTGAATGCCTTCAGTGTGTTGGAATTTACTGCAATGTGTTAAAATTGTCTATATGACAATCTTCTCAAAAGTAACAAACACTTGTTTTAGTTGTTTTGTAATATACATATTATACACCAGCCTGCCTTGCAATGGGACAAAAATGGCATAATCATTTTTTTTTTTTCTAATTCTCCAGTGGGTTATTTATTCAAAAAACACATCTAATCATGTTTTGAGTACTTTTACTCTTGCAATTTCTACTTTCCTTTTTGACTTTCATGTCTGAATCTTGTCTTAAAAACAAAGTGCAGGAAACGTCTTGATTTTGACAACAAAATTCCACAGGCTTTGGAGGGATAACAGCACATGAAAGGGGTTTATGGAGCCACTCCCTGGGTGCCTAAAGCTAAAGTACAGAGAATGGAAGTAGGGGGCCTGTTGTCCAGTTTGTATGCAAAATATCACCTCTCCGTTCCTCCCCCTGCCAGTGGAACCGAGCGTGGAGGAGACCCCAACGTCTCTGTCAGTTTGACTGTTGTAGGTTTGCGCTGCAGTCTGACATGTAGATTGAGCGGTTACCATGGAGTGGGTCATGGATGTGGGCTTGGGAGCAGTTTACCCTGTAGGCCCCCTGTTTCTTTCAAAGGCACCATGGCTAGGGCATCAACAGCTTATAAAAAGAAACAGAATCAAAATATTCACTTGAAACGTGATCTTTTTAGATTAAAAAACAAAAAGGCACAGAAGTCAACATGGGACACAAAGTATCATTAACACTTAACAAATGTTTATGTAATTAAATGTCTATTTCTGCTAACTTTGCCTCACTAATTCAACGGTTTCTTTCTTGAACAAAAGAAAGAAAAAACTTTACATACATTTGTGTGGGACAGATACTACATAAAATGCAATATAGGCCTATATACTAGACCTATATGTTAGAGGCTAGAACTCAGAAATGTAAAGAAAAAGCTCAATCGAATACAGCAACACTAATAACAATTAGTTAGATTTGTGTTTGTTGCATGTTAAAATCAAACCAATGTCAGCATTAATAGTGAAAAGTAGTGCACAGACAGGATAAGTAACCAAAAGAGGGTACTGACTACCTCTACCTAAATGAATCAAACAAATTCACATTGAAGTTAAGGCTCCTGACATAAATGAAATTTGCACCTGCGAGTTTATAGCAGGGTACGTAGTAGGAAAGGAGGAAAAGATCAGCCCTGGAGAAGCTTCACAGAATGAAAGCATGTTGCCATAATCCAAAAAGTAAACACGTGCCTCATGGTGGAGGGGAAAAAATAAAAAGGTCTTTGCTGCCAGTGCGTCATACCATCGAGCGTGTCGCCCCTCTTCCCTTTAAAATAGTTTTTATCTGCCACGCCCACACCATATTTCCCACTCAGCTGTTACTGTAAGTCGCTTTCAGTTTCCACATGCATCTATTCACAAATCTGCGGTGTTGAACTGTGGGGAAGTCGGACTTGGAGGATCACCACGCGTCGGACTAATCACCTCGTCTGTCAGTTTTGACCAACTTGTTGCGCAGCTGCTATTTCTAACCTCTCTGGTGCAGTGGCATAAGGGGTGATTAGTGCTTCATCGGCTTTACGGTGATATTTTTTGTGAAAGAAGACCGATGGATGAAGCGGGGACGTACTATCGCGGATCATTTGAACTTTTTGATTTTTTTTTAAATGAAGTCCTGTAGCCTACAGTGAATGTTCGAGTCTCTTAATATGGTCTCAGAGGCAGGGGGTGCGAGTCATGAGCCGGACGCGTCCTTGCCACGGACTAGACTGGAGCCACAGCCTCTTCTTCCTGACTTTATTTCTGTGGACCAGACGCATGAACGGACTGGCTGACTTTTCAAGTAAGATGATGGTGACTGTGATGGAGATGAATCAGGGGAAAAAATGGTTAAATATTACAGGCATGGTTTTGTCCCAAGAAGTTCCCTAACTGAAAGTGTTGTTGTTCCTTAGGGTTGGAATGGGGCTGCCCTGTTATAAGTGGTGTAATTGCTTAAGTAGGGGCTTGAAACATATTTGTAGGCCTATACATGACAAGATATTTGGTGATTCTAGTCTTTTTCACATTTCCAGTTTTCTCTAAAATACCTTCCATGGACCTGTGCACCTGTCTGAGAAAAGATACAGTAAAAGATAGCATGAGTAGCAAAATACCTGTCTTATTTTGTCATTGTCTTGTCATATACTATTGGTGGACAAAATAATGTTAGAGAAATGGCACCAATCTCAATTCAATGGTGTTAGAGACCAGCCATTCTCAGCATTGTTTTGTGTAGAGAATGGTTTCCCAGTGTTTTATCAAAACTGTCCATAATCTATTTCAATGTCTTCTGAGTCATATTCTATTAGACAAATAATGTAAACATCTCAAGATAAAGGGCTTTGAATCAAAAGTAACCATATCACATCTACACACTACGCAACAAAGGTGGGCCTTATTGGGTTTAATGCCAGTTGGTGGATAGGAAAGAGATCTGGGAGTCAGTTTTCAAAGCAACATGAGACAACAGAGCTCCAAAGAGGCCAAACAAACTGATCTGAAACCACAGATGCAGTAGATTATATTAAAAAAAAAAAATCACCCACAAGACAGAGATAAAAAAAGATTAATGATGAAAATCAAAGTGACAGAGGCCTGACTTTTAGTCTCTAGCATCAGCCAAACTCCAAATATGTTGGATCCTACATTTCCCATAATGCATCTCAATGGCCTCGTTCATCCTCCCTGCCTTGTAACATCACTCACATTCATAATGCAGGCTTAAATTTTAAGTCTCGTGACCAAAATAACCCTAATGATGTCATCTTTTTTTTTAAACTGTGGAAAGCTCCGTCTAGAGTACTAGAGTAAAATACTATTATACAATGTTTTCTTCATTGTCTTTGGTGTAACAGACTACCTGTCCAGGATCATAACCAGTCACTCTGCTCACGCTTGTGACGGACAGCCTCTGCGACTCCACTGTCCACGTCATTCCACCATCTCCATCCAGTCCGCCTTCTACGGGAGCAGCGAGGTGCGGCTATGCAGAGCAGACTCTCTGCTCGGCGCCCACAACCACAGCTGCTCAGCTTTTACTGCTCTACAGGTGCATTTTATGTGTGGCGATATGCAGCACATTTCACTCTTGCTGGGTCATCTATGTGTATTTGGGTGTTCATCAGTTTTAGCTGATTTATTGGGGACACTTTATGCCCATATGTGTTTTTGTTTTGTAGTGAACACACCACGTTTACATGAGCTGGCTGGTGAATACTGCAGACTCTTTAATGGGAATGTAGATTTATGAAAGCACAGCACACTGGTTTCTTATGTCAGCCAGTTAGTGCAGCTTTCTTTTTGCATCTGATTTGGTTGTCTTTACATTGTGCTCACTGTGGATTGTAACATCAAACCCCATGTACTGGTAAAAGCTGACAGTCCCTGGTGTTTGCTGTGCAGAAACTGCTGTCGGAGTGTCAGAGCCACAGAGACTGCCAGCTGCCTGTTAACCACCTGCTGTTTGGGAAGGACCCTTGTCCTGGCACTGCCAAATACCTCCATGTGGACTACAAGTGTAAACCAAGTAAGTTCAGCAGCTCAATTCCCATGTGTCCCTATCTGTTAACAACCTTTTTTATTGTCATTTCAGCTTCAGTTTCTCTCACACATTTACTGGTGGATGAGCATGGAATACCTGCATAGCTATACACAGCAAGCCCCCCCTCCTTCCCCCAGTCTTAGCCCCTCAGTTTCCCAATGCCAGCATTCTCTTCACCTCTTCATCCTCATTGTTTTCCCCCCCCCAACTCGCTCAGCTGAACACAAGAAACATGTGGCGTGTGAGGGAGAGACGATGATCCTGCGCTGTAAGCCCCCCAGGGTTCTGATCATCTACGCAGCTGTCTATGGGAGAGGTCTGGGCCAGACTGACACCTGCCCCTCACACCTGACAAGACCACCCCCATTTGGTGAGTCAACGGGATATTCAGTATTCTCATATGGTGGTAACTAACAGATGTTTCTTTTTTACAAGGCGAACAATGAAGCCAGGAATGCAATGTCTTGAGAAATTACTTTTCATAGTGAAAGTGGAAAGTTTTAGGAAGAGGATGTTTTATCATGCCCAATAGGTAATCACCTGTACGGAATAGGTCACTATTCTGACCATGTAAATGAGCAATATAGAGCATTTTAATATCATTTGATAATTTCCACAATCATTTTGAAACTTAGCTGAATTGCTTTGTGGCAGGGAGAGCCCCCTGTTCAAAGCCAATAGTTGTACAATAGGGCTGTGTCTGAAATCACCCCACATTTACAACATAGTGCACTATATTTACGGCAAATACTGATCGTGTTAATTTACTAGATATCCATTAAATATATGCCCTATGAAATTCCACAATGTAACGAAAAAGTATTGTCCATGGCATGCACGCTACTTTCTGCTACCAATCCCACCGTGCAAACCGCCACATTAAATAGATGCGAAAATCACCATGCAACTCTACACACGTCAGTGATGTTGCAAAATGATTATAAGTAAGTGTCCGAAATCTCAATTAACTGCTCACTATGGAGTAGTGTCTATTGTACAGGGAGTGATGAATGAGTGAACAAAGGAGTGATTTCAGACACGGCTTCCTTTTTAACAGCAGACATTTGTCATAGTGGGAAAATCACAGGTGTTACTAATAACATTAACAACTCTGTTTTTTTCAAGCATCCCAGTCAGTCAGGTAAGTGTGACAGTGAGCCAGCATGAGCAATGCCAGGACCCTGAAACTGAAGCAGCTAAAAAAAAAAAAAAAATTCAGACGACATTAGTTTTAACATTAACAGCTGTACTTTAGCTTCCACATGTCTGTAAAACAGGCCTATGGTAGATGGTGACATGAGTGAAGTCCCAATGGAAATAGCCGCTCTAATCTGTTCACTAAAATCAGAAAGTGATGGGGATTTATGGGAAATGTGGCCTTAATAAAAGTCAAACACAAGAAATCACAGTAAGCTTTTTTCACAGCATGCCTTTTGACACGCCATAGCAGAAAAAGCACAGGTGTAAATAATAACATCAATAATGGCTGCACTCTGTTTGCCCCAGCCCTCGTTAATGTTATTGATTACACCTGTGCTTTTCCTGGTATGACAAGTCACAATGTTTGCTGTGAAAATTCCCTCTGTGAATAATGGGAGGTACAGGCTAGATTTCATTTGTTAGCAATTTGACCAAATTCTACTAATTCTGCAATGATGTGACACGTTTTAAACTTATCTGGCCACTGAATGCTTTAGAATAAGCAAAGACTATTTGGAGATGACGTTAAACTACCTTAGATGCACTGAGTTAACCATTTGCTTTGCTGGAATGCAAATGTCACATGGCTGCCAAAAAAGGTGATACCATTGTTGTTAAAGGAAGCAAGGAAAGTTTACTTATATAGCGGCTTTCACAGACATCAGTAATAAAATGCTTCACAAGCAAAGAAATAAAATCAAATAAAGCAAAGATAAAATGCCAGATAAAAATTACAAGAGGGAGAGATGTAAGTTGAAACTAACTACCACATGCTACCTAAATGCCTGTCTGAAAAGATGGGTTTTCAGCTGCTTTTTTAAAAGAGTCACCCAACATATCTGCAAAATATTGCACCAGTGGTTCAGCTATTGTAGCTAATGTGAGCATTTCTCTTTGCTGTTCCCCACAGAGTGTCTGAACCACGAGGCTGTACACTTGGTGTCCAAGTCCTGCTACAGCAAACAGAAGTGCGTTGTTGCTGTCAGCAACCAGACCTTTAGGGACCCCTGCTTTCCAGGAACCAGGAAGTACCTCAGTGTGCTGTATTCCTGTGGTAGGACTCTATGTGCTTCCTCATGTGCACGGTACAATAACAAGCCTGGTGATAAATTATAGGAACAGGCTTGCATGAAATTATGGATACCCCACATCCTTTTCCAGGATGTGACAGTCCCTTCAGTGAACATTTGTGGTTTCCTTCTGTGGATTCATATCTGCTGATCTCCTCCACCAGATATTCTTATCATATCACAGCCAACAACACAGTAGCGGGGAATAATAAACTTACATTTACGGGTTGAGGCTGACATCTTGGTAAACTTCCTACGACTGGCACCAATGCCAATGAGGTCATGCAGCAACATTGTTCATGTATCAAAGTTTGGAGATTTGACTTCAGGCCTGGTGTTGATAGAATTCTTCTGACTGGCTGTGTTGGCTCCAGCTAGTGCAAAACAATGTGTGTTAACCTTGTAGTCTGGTTATCAACATAACTGGACAAAAAGCATTCAGAATTTGAGTGTGTCATTCCATTGTGGGCCCTGTTCTTGCAGAGGTTTGGTATGGGTGTGGGAAGAGGCATGCCGATGAATGAACTACTATAGATTCACCAATACACAGTCTGTCCACAGCAATATAATGACTGTTTCCTCTGTCTTGCTTCCATTAGTACCACAGACATTACTAAGGGAGGCAGACCCTTACGGATTCAGCACCACCTCATCTCCTACTGTGGACACAGAAAAAGGTAACCGCATCGTGCCATCTATTCCAGGTCTTATGTGGAATCTCCCATTAAAATTCTAGCTTTCACAACAGCTCCTCCTGCAGATCTGGAGGAGCCTTTCTCCAAAGGGTCAAGAAGGCCAGACAGCTCAGGAGCTATGATGAGCAACTCTCTCCTGACCTACGCCTACATCAAAGGTAAGCAGTGTTCACATGCAGGCATGCACTCATGAATGCACAATTAATCATCTCCTCTCTACATTTCCTACACAGAGCATCCAGAAATGGCAGCGCTGCTGTTCACCTCCAGCGTGTGCGTTGGTCTTCTGCTCACGCTGCTGGCTGTGTCAGTCCGAGTGACCTGCAGAGTGCGCCCGCTCAGAGATCACAGACTCGCACCCAAGTCTGGTAGCCAGACCGTCAACTGCCAGGAGGAGGACGAGGATGAAGATGATGATGATGATGATGCAGAGGGAACAGAAAACTCTTCAATCTTGGCCGCAGAAAGGAAGGCGATGTACGGATGGGAGGAAGTGACTTATGTGAGCGAGGCAGCCGAACGGGCGGAGAGGATTGAGCGCAGAGAGATGATCATGCAGGAGATATGGATGAATGCCTATCTGAATGGCACCTCATGTTAAATAAACCGTGACCCCTGGATGCTGTTCAGCACCTTCAAGTTTTTTTTCAGGATTCTCTGCAGCAGCTCCCAGCCTTTGATAATTAACAAAACAAGAAACTTGTTTTTTTGTCTTTAGCGTGTTTTGCCATTTGTGCAGGAGCACTGACTTTGTGAAGGATGTAATGTTTGGGTGAAACTGCGGTAGGCCTACTAGCCATTTTTAAATGATCAACAGGGTTTAATGCTGTAAAATGGGTGGTCACATAAATTCTGTAATTGTTTAAATGTTGTATTTATTCACATTCACCACCAAATTACGCTAGGATTTCAGGTTGAAATGTACTGCTACATAAGTGTAAAATCACTTGTCATGAGAGAAATCACACAGTTCGCCTCGTTCGGTCAAGTTAAGTAAATTTTATTTTTATAGCCCATTGTCACAAATTTGCCTCAAGGGGCTTTACAAACTGTACAGCATACAACATCCTCTATCTTTAGACCCTCGATTCGAATGAGGAAAAACTCCCCGTAAAACTCAGATGGACAGACATGCAGTAGATGTTGTGCTTACAGAATAGATCAACATGGTGAAATTACAATACGGATGACAAAATGATTGCTAGATTGTGAACATATATGAAGTTCCGGGACAACTTCCACTTGCCTCCAAACAGCCACACTCTCTCCTCTTCACCATAGAGACCTGGAAGAGGACAGACAAGTCTGTGGTTTAACCACAGCAGTCTTAAAGGTAGTGGGGACAATGCCAGTTGTATGTGATAAATTAACAATATTCAGTATTGTAGGTCTCAGAAATGGTGTTTGTTGTTACTGATTAAAAGAGAGAAATATGCTGATTTGGCAGTGAACAGAGAACACTTGTAATTCAATACACATTTGATGTAGAAAACATCCAGTCTCCAGCAGGCCTGCTTAAAAGCCATTGTTTCTTTGGTAAACCAGGGTGTAGACCTCTTTGACCGTCTTGTTTTAAAAGAAAGAGGTGCAACTGAATCCAGGAGACCAGAGTACACCGGCAAGAGCACATAGAATGGAAACAATAAAAGAGTAATAATAAAATAAATTTTATTTAAAAGAAAATTAAAAGCAGTGATAAATAGGTAGGTCTTTAGCTTGGATTTGAAAGTAGTCAGTAATGGGTCAAGTCTGACAATTTGATGCACATTTGAGCAGCTAAAGCTAAAGGCAGCTTCACCATGTTTAGTTTTGGCTCTGGGAACCAACACTGATTCAGAACCAGCTGACCTGAGAGGTCTGCAGAACAGCCTCAAAGGAGTTACATTTAATATCAGGTTAGGAGGTTCAACTGAAAATTTACTTACTGATTAAGGCAACACCTCCACCTTGTCTAGTAGCCTGAGCAACACATGGATTGGTACAGTCAGGTGGGGAAGCTTCATTTGGTTTAAGCTATGTTCACCACATCATATCCAGACTGTGCTGAAGAATCACACTATTTATCAGTGAGGCTTTAGTAGACAGTGATGTGATATTTATAAAACCAAATTTGAGGGTCTTGCTAGGGCAGCAGCTTTCAACAAATCTTTGGAGCTACCAGAAGACGATGTATCATTTGGAACAAGATGCCTTATATTGTTAGTTGTTTTGTGGCCTGCAAATGCAACAGTGTGGGGAGACAATTATGATTACATTAGATATTTTGTGTTCATTAATCATTCAGGGGTCTCATAACAGCTGTGTCACTGAAACGGATAGATCACTATAAACCAAAGAGCGCGTCAGAGAACGTGATCTGTCATAACACCTTCGGAGTTGCTTTCATCTCCCAACTCCCTCCAGGTTTTAAGTGAAGCCTTTTCTTCATTGACAGAGTCGGCGTTTAGTGTCAGGTGATTTCCTTCCCATCAGTTGTAGAAATGTTTTGATGTTCAGTCAACGCTGATTTGATGTCACTGACAAAAATAGGCGCAAACTGAGTTTTCCCTACAGTATAACTACAGGTATGTGTTCCAACGTCACCTGTCACAAGTCATCACTGTCTACGGTGGAATTATCAAATGTACACGACGTCCAGCATGTTTTTTAAAATGAATGCAGTGTTCCTTCTACAAATCACTGCGACAGCTCTCCGGTGCATTAAACACTCTCACTCTGAACTCTATGGCTTCCTCATCCTCGCTGGGAAAAGAGCAGGAATGTCCATCTGCTATGTGGCAACTTCCTGCCTCAGAGTAGCACGGACTTTCGTGTGTGTGTGTGTGTGCACCAACAAAGAGAGGAAAGGTGTGGCATCCTTGTCCCAGCAGTCCAAGGGATGTAAAACTGTGTTCCAGTTGAATTACTACCTCTGAGACTTTCTTATTTCTTACACATTGTTAATCCAAAATGTATGAACTTTGTGTATACACAGGCCACATTGCATTTAAATAATTATTTTTTTTACACAATACAGTAAATTTAGATTAAACTAAAATTTGATTTTGTTTGCACAGCTTTAATAAACATTTTACTTTCCAACAGCGTTAAAACAATCTGTAAAGTACATTAAATTTCAAATAAAAAGGTTTTATCACGTTTATCAGTCTCCATGTGACATCCTGTCACCTGTTCTGTCATACAATGGGTCCAAATGTCTTCTTCACATTTCAGTGCAGAAATGCATCTACTCCGAGGCATATGAAAACATATCCTGTGCATAATATTCTCTGGAAGACTTCAAATAACACAGACAGATTTCAGGATTATGATAAGGCATCTGAGTTGCATATAGAGCTGTAAAGGACCCGGTTGGAGCTGCAGATCCAAGGTGGGAATCTGACAGGTGGTCTATCTCGGTCCCCACTTGATGTTGGTGAGGCCTTGAAACTGTTTTTTTAGGGCCTGTCTGTCAGACCACTTTGAGTCCAGGTAGCTATCATCGTCTGCCTCCTCCAGTTTCTGTAAAGGTTTTCAGGAGGAAGTTAGAAAGGGACATTCAGTAAAAACAGACACATGGTTTGCACCACTTTAAAAATATATATTCAAGCCGTTCACCGCTCACCTTGAGCTCCTCCTGCCTCCTGTGGTAACTCATCATCATCTGTTTCTGCTGCTCATCAGTGATCAGAGGCTCTCTCGCTGGTGCCCCCTGCCCTTTCTGAAGGGAACAGCAACAAGTGGATTACAGTTATTCTCAAAACTAGCAAATTACATACATAAAAAAATAAAATAAAACAACATATATACTCGCTTCAGATCCCCTGAAATGGCTCTCACCTTTTGGATTTTGACCACAAGCTTTGTCTTTTCATTTTTGCCAATGTAGTCCTGCAGCTTTTTCCCCCTCTGCATCTCTTTGGCAGCCCACCATAGCTGGCACTCGTCCTCTGTGATCACCTGCAGAGATGCCTGAGGCATGGGGAGAGAAAACAAATGCAGAAGAATGATGGGGGAGGACAAAAAGGTGAAGAGATTATCAAGGAGACCGTGAAGACAGCTTCACCTCTCAATGTACCAAACCATATTAGCTTAAGCCCTTGTTGTTGACTGAAAACTAATTTCATCAATAGCTGCTAGGAAACTCCGATTACTGTTTACCTGTGTTCCTGAAAGGTCTTCCCGGTCCTCAAACTCCATCCTGATAGGGTCATGAGGAGGTAGCCCCATAGGGTATACAATCATGACCGCACCCCTTAGCTGATCCAGAGCTTCCTTTACCATCGCCATGGTGACACAAACATTAGCTTGAACTTGTTTCTGAAAGATGAAGAAAAAGACAGACTGAATCAATATCACTGACCCCTAGTGAACAAGACAAACTAAGATTTAGTGTAAGTATTAGTTAACATTTATACTTACTTTGGAGATCAGTGCCTTTGCCTCCTCCACTGTTCTCATCAAAACCTCTTTCATTTTTTCATTTGGAGCTGGTAGAAGGTAAAGAGATGGATTGTCAGATCTATTTTATTTGTTTTGTTTCCTGCTTGCATAGAAGTGAAATGCCCCTTTCAACATATTATCATGTGAATGAAAAGAAATTATAAGAAAATTAAACTCTTAACAAAACCATTTACAGTAGTATATCTGTATGTTAACTACAGTTCAACTGGAGGAAAGAAATGACATACTTACAATGTACAAAAAAATATTTAATTGCAGAATTTGAGAGTCAAGAGTCATTGGCTCACCATGTCCGTTCCTCCTCCCAATCTCATCCGTCTTAAATACTGGCCCTCCGCTGGGCACGCACTTGTCTTCCCATTCATCTCTCAGTTTCAGCTCCACAATCTGCTCCTCTGTCAGCCCCTGCATGTTGGGTGGCAGTGTGATGCCGTGGTCTGCCAGTTCTGGGATCTCTGAGGGTCCATAAATGAACGAGCAAGCCTTTGTCACTGTATCCTACTAGGCTGAAAGAGCTCAGAGACATGTAGTTGAAACCTATTTGTTTAACAGAAAATCCACCTATAACAATACTGTCACTTATTTAGGAATAAAACAGGTGTGTGAAAGTGTGAAAAGTTACTTATTTGTCTCTGCTTACGTCACCTTAATTAGGCTAATTGTATTTCGTTATCCAGTTTAAATAGTACTGTAGTAAAGCAATAGGTGTGAGTGTGTTCATACTCAAGCTTCTCATCCTTACACAGTGTGTACAGTGTGTAGCTTTTTATGTCATTTTCACCTGAACATATTCTGTCCACTTTGAGTCTTCTGTTGTAAATGGCTGTAATTTGCTGTATCACCGTCTCCAGAGTCGCGTCCACAGTGGTGGTGAAAAGAAACAGGCTCTCATCTCCACGCTTCACATGCAGCTGCACCATCTTTCTTTCAAACTTAAATAAGGCGTCCGGGGACAGGAGTTTAATGCGACTTTGTTGTTGAATATACCCGTTAACAACCCTGAAGACGTGTACGTGTAAAAGCATAAAGAGCAGCGCCAGGGGTCTTTAGGAAAACAGTGTAACCATAGCAACAGTCAAGTGCGGACGCTTCTAGAAAACACACATGCTAGCTTTCAACTAGCTACATCGTGTAGCTAACTGTTTACATTCACTGGCTCAATCTCTTAAAGAGTAATTTCTCTACGGTTACAGGAAATGGTAACACTTACTTGTGCAGTGAAACGACAAGCACAAGACGGCCCCTACACTGCTCAAACTGAGCTCACACTTCATTTACAATCTGTGACATAACGTTACTAGCTGAACGCATGATGGATTCATCGGGCCAAAACTTCTTCTTTTACGGCAGGTTAGATTAATCCAATCAGTCTCACTGCCCTCTAATGGTAAATGGTGGTAATACTGTAGTTTGTAGAATAAGGTCCTTATGAAGTGTTTTAGCTGGTCATGTTAGTGTTGGAGGGGACAATAAAAAAATCTCTCATTTTTAGAAAGAGGTCTGAAAAAGGTAGGCAGCAGACCAAACCACTGTGAGTTATGTGAGAGGGGAGGACATACTCTTTCAAAACTTAAATAAATATGCAGGTAACTTACTGTCCCTACTAACTTCTAGCAATGAATAAAAAAACACTAAATTTTTTTGGCTGATTAGCAGAGAAAAAGGAGCAAATTTGGGAGCAGCAGGGTATGGTAGTCTTACATCTGACATTAAACATCCTGTTAAAACAGCATCTTAATAAACCTTATGTATAACTATATATATATATTAATGCACACACTAGTGTTGTAGTACTCGAGACCAGTCTTGGTCTCGACTCAGCGGAATTTGTCTTGTCTCGGACATTGAGGACTTGGGATTTTATTTCAAGACCAGTCAAACAACCCCAGCATGCCATAGGTCTATATAAATATGTGGCTTGGTGTGTTTGGATGCTATTTAGCCATTTGGAAATAATATCCATGAACTGAAGAGCACATAGTACACATCATTTTGTTGTGGAAATATAAATGTCTCCATTAACAAACATGGCAAAATGTCTGCTCAAATAAATTTTGGTCAGAGGTATATGATATATAATTCTTTATGATGTGCAATAATGTTACGGTCTACAGTCAAAGAAGACAAACAGCAGCATTCAGGTAAAGTTACATTTATTTTTGCATACATACAACATAAACTGCTTCATACATTAATGTGCAATCAGCTGTGCACTGAAAATATGGAACGTTGGATATTAACATGAATCGCAGCTTCATGTTTTCTCTTTAATACATACAGAATATGTTCAACAACACAGATTCCTATTTACTATGGATTATAGCCATAAAAAGGGACACAGACTTCACAAAAGGAGCAATTTGTTTCCTATAAAATCTCATCTTGGAGAACATAACATGACACAAAGCGCTGACTAGTCACCTAAGGTTATAATGCAGATACAGTATCTACTGCACACATCTGGATTACACAAATGCATTTTAGAGATGACATTGACATGTAAGCAAAGGCAACCCGATACACTTGCTTACATAGATCGCTACTGCTTTCAGTGCAGTGAATGAAGACTTTTAGATTTTTATGTATTTTACATAGTGTAAGCAGAAGCGTTAGATAGCTGGTACTTTTTTGGGTTAGATGTTTTATCCTCCATGAACCAAGACATTTCAGCTGTTTACATAATTTCTGAAGGTTTTGGGGGGGGGGGGGGGGGGGCAACATCTGAGTAGACACAGCTGGCATGTGTCGTGTAAGGGAGGATTGTACTCTCACTGATCCTTTTGCAACACTATTGCTTGTCATCACTGTCAACACTGACGCTGACATATATAACTCAACAGGAGTGAAAGTAGGTAGCACGGGCAAGAAATACTGATACATCACCTCTGAAAACACCACACGCACCTCATCAATGGTTACGAAATCAGCAACAATTACTCTCAACTGGAGGAAACAGATATGGGTAAGATATCACAGGTGGATCTGCAAACGCTGAGAAGAGTTTTAAACACCCAGCTCTCAAGTCGCACTACTGTCTGGAATGTGGGTCACACTGCGCCTGGGAAGGACACAACAAACAACTGGAAATGATCATTTGGTGACGCATTTGGGTCTGAGAATACAGTGCAATTGAGTCTGTTTATTCAGTCAAGGTGTGGTATAAGCGTCTTTGCTACCAGGGAATTCTCAGTCAGATGGTGACTGCTTTGTGGGAAAAAAAGTCCTTTTGTCTTGTATCGTTAACATTTCCGCATACAGTGAAGTCACTATGCACACCCTTTGCAGGCTGGAGAGCGGGAATACACAAATACAGCCATGAGTGAGTGAATACAGTGGCTGTTCAGAACCTGTAAGCAAAGAACTCCTGGGGGAAAAGCTCTGGTATTCCACTCCTAACTCCGTACACACACACACACACACACACACACACACACACACACATCCAAACACAAACACCACAACAGAATATATGCACCTCAAACACAACACATTACTTCTCACCACAGTATCATCACAGTAGATTATTTAGAGTAAATGTTCTTAGAAACTAAAAGCATGACTTTTGCAATAAACAAACGTTTAAGTAAAAAAAAAAAAAGTGCCGTCTTCTATTATTATGCATGGCATGTCCTTGCCGCCATGTCCACAGATCCAAATCACATCAGTAACAGAAGTATACACAAGCATACGTCCACATTCTCTGAATTTACAATAGTATGGTTAAATGCTTTGGATGAATCAAGATGGATCAAAACACTACAGAGGTGGAAAGGTCTAAAAGCCCTCTCATCCGTTCAACCCGCAGGCTCTCATTTTTGTCACACTCTGCCATCAACAAGAATACACCCAAGAGAGCACAGCATTTCAGTGCATATCAGTTACATTGTGCAAATCACTGATACGGTCATCACAAACACACATACGCACATTTAGCAAGTAGTTTCCAAATGGAAAACATACATTTATACATAATCACTATGTATAGATTTTGATATTGAGCTAAGCTTAAGCCCAAAGACAAAGAGTGATGACTGAGCAGAGGGAACAACTACCAAGTGGATATGATACTACAGAGCATCAGTCCTGCGGGAGCGGACAGTTTGACTGACTATGACACTGACTGCTTTTGTTCACACCATGGTGTCAGCAAGGAGACAATGACAAAACCCAGTGCAACATAAAGTACATTCATGATAAAAGCAAGCACACGATATGACCTTTAAATTTGCCTCAAGACACAAACAAACAAACAAAAAAAAACTTCCAACAAATTCTTTGCAAGTCAAAGCAGTCTCTCATTGCTGCAGACTACAGCAATTTTGAGTGCAAATGTAAAACCCGCGGTGCATAGCCTTCTACTACATGTAAACTGAGAAATAAGAAGAATACTCTCAACTCTGAGAATCCCGCTCTACTGTACAGATCAGTCAAAATGATGGATGTGAGCCTCAGTGCGTCAGTCAATGCAGCAAATGCAAAGGTAACACTTAAGCTCAAAGGCGAATGCAGTGTGCTGCACGGCCCCACAGACATAATATTGCACATGTGGTTTCACACATGATTTGTGTGTGTATAGATGTACTTTATTTAACTATATACTGTAGACACAGGCACGTGTTTGCTGCCATAAATACAAATAAACATCAAAATGATTCATATTAAAATAAATGTTAATATCAGGGAACACGCAAACATCTCTGTAGTGAAGTTGGAGAACACAATTAGGCTCATACACTTCTCATGTTAATGTCTGAGATATAAATCCTTTCCTGTGATTCAGAAGGGGATTGGTCTATACTTCTTAAATACCATCTCTTTTGTACATACACACACACACATATACACATTTATCATAGATCTATACATATCTGGATATGCCCTTTACATATTAAGAGTCCTATCTTTCGGTTGAGTCCCTGGGGAAGAAGCTGTCATCACTGGGTCCCTCTGGGAGCTTTGGGTTACTGGTTACAGTTCTAGTTGGGATGGGAGGAGGGAGGGCTGGGAATACGGAAGGGGTCGAGGATAACCAGTCGGGCTCTGAGTCAAACACAGAGCGGGAAGGCAGAATCTGAGTTTGGGACACTATGGAACTGGGAGGGAAGATGGGTGCCTGTGGAGTCTTGGTTGAAGGGGGAAATGCCAAATCATCATCAAAAGTGACCCACTGCTGGGTTGGTTTCCCTCCTGGTGGAGGTGGCTGGCGACGAGGTGCAAGGACAGGTGGAATGGAGGAGGGAGGTGCCAGAGGCCAGGAGGGGACCGGAGACGGGTTAGGGGCGAAGGGGAGCAGAGGAGCAGGTGTAGGATTAAGAGTGGATGATGGTTCAAACAGGGACGTGGTTCTTTGGAGCTGGAAGCAGGGCACAGCGGCTGCTGTTGGAGCAGAGCTGGGGATGAGTGGCTGATTGAGAGCAGACATGGTGCTCTGAAGGTTTAGCGCCGGGGCTGGACGCTGGACGCTGAAGTCCGGGGTGAGCGAGCGGTGCTGCTGTGCCAGTGGGCCTGTAAAGGGATTGGTGCTGCTGGGTCGGGCAGGCAGCGGGTCAATCGGGAAGAGGCCTGGGGAAGCACGCAAAGTCTCTTGCGAGCGACTACGAGATGGGACCGGGGGAGGTGGGAGCAGGGTAGAGGCGAACGGTGACGGGGTGGAGAGTGAGGAAGAGGAGGACGAATCAAGTGCCTGCAGGTCTGACAGAGCGGAGGACTGGAGGGAGAATGATGCAGGGAGAGTGCTGGAGGACAACGTAGATGCAGGAACCGAGGGGGGAGTACGCAGAGAGGAGCCTCTGCTCAGGGACTGGGTGGTGTGCCAGGAGGAGGAGAGGAACTCAGATGCAAGTATATCAAGGGGGTCGGGCTTCCATTGTGCTTCACTTGGGATTCCATTCAGTCCATTGGTCTAAGGAGGAACAAAACAAAGAAAATGCCATTCAGCTGTCACAACAAATGCTTTGCGAAAATATGAGCCATGATCTAATATTAATTACTGGAGTGTTTTACATACAGTTATTATAGTCTTCTTTCTTTAGCTCAGAACAAAGTTTAAAGATACCCTTTGGAGCTTTCTTGTACACAAACAGTTATATAGGTATAAGTTATATTAACATTCAGGGTTTCTTACTTAAGCGCAGTGTGCGTATCCTTCACAAACCTATTCAATGCATTTCCTTTCTCATAAAGCATTTGCAAACTATGGTGAAACCTGCATTGTTTATAGATGTTTACATCAGTGAGCTGCCCTCTCCTTCCCCACCCTTTGATAGTACATAGCCATATTTCTTGGGGAATTACTACCACTTCTTTGACGTAAATGGAAGTTTAATTTACTATTACAATGGGCGATATGATATGCAACTGATAAGAAGTGTTAGACAGCTATTTATCTAGCTATTTTAGATGTTTTATCTGTTTGTCGACTTCTTTTTTGCATTTTATGACTTGCATGCACTACACAGTCGGCGGGAATGTCTATCATGTCACAGACATGCTTGTGTGCATAAATAGGCTGCTAACAAAACCCCTCAATCAGGGGCAAATCAGCAAGGGGTCGGCACTTGATCGTTATGTGTGAACTACTCAACAAGAAAGGAAGATCATTAAGATTTTCTCAATTATCACACAGGATTTGTAAACATGCTCTGTGCATGTTGGTTGGATGAGATAGAGTCGACATCCCTGTTGCCGTTCAACGTAATCAAGAGTCCCAATTTAAAAAACAGCAAGTCATGTAGTCTTAACAGCACAGTGATATGCCAAAAGTCGTGTAGTCTGATTGTGGGGCATTGGGGCTTATCAAAACATTGACAGCTCCACTAGTGGTCAAAAACTCCAAAGGGGAACCTTAAAACTGGCCAACTCAAAACATTTACAAACATGTATTGAACTACATCGACTACTGATGTATCACATTCACTAAATCTAACACAAATACATGAAATAGTACAAATTTAACAAAATGTCAAATCAAATTATGAGGTCATTGCATATCTGCTCAACAGCTGAACCACAGTGAGCAGATATGAAAGGACTAGAGAGGGAAAAATGGCCAACAACAAACCTCACATTTTCATCTGTTTTTTTTCTCCATGTCATTTATGGTTTGATGTGTTGACTGGCCAAAAAAAAAAGGGAAAAAAAGACATATTGCTCCATTTTGTGAGCCTGGCACAAAACAATGCATGGCTTTGTAGAGGAATAACATTTAAAATAACTTGGATGTAAAAGGAAGGAAAACCAATTATGAAATGAGAGGAGGAGGTTACTTGGTGTAATGTATGAGAGGTAACAACATCAGAGAAGAGGACTGTTGTGCTATGAAGGATGAGACAAAGTGATGGTTTAATATCAAGTACCTGTCACCCTGAGGGCTTCTCCAGCTTGTGAGAGAGAGACAAATGTATCAGATAGACAAAAGCAGGAAGAATGACACAGGCAACTGAGCTCATCTGATGTGAGACAAAGAAGAAGCTATTTTCCTATTGTCTCCACCTCCTATACTCGTCATAATTTTGCATAAAATATCTTGTCTAATGAGCAGAATTTGAGCAAGAATCTGTAGGACGTGATTCCGTAACATGCAAGCAAAAAAATCTTAATTGAGTGTACTCAACAAATAATTATGTTAGTGTTCTTTGTTCAGTTTGCTGAAATTCCAGTTATGTCATGACAAGGAAGTTGGCACCAACCTGCGCAGCTGGGGCTGTCTCAGACTTGGCAGCATCAGGCGGCAGAGCATGAGAGGAGCGGGAGCGTGGTGGGGGTTTAGGAGAAGCTAGACCCTGTGGAGGCCCGGCAGGGATAGCAGCAGCAGCGGGAGGAGGCCCTGCTTTAGGAGCTGCAGCTTGCTGCGGCTGGAGTGGAGCTGGATATGTGGGCTGCATTGGTGGTGGGAGTTGGGACTGAGCTGAAGGGGCAGCTGGTTGGGGCTGCATGGGTTGCTGCAGGGGTGACGGAACCTGGGGTCTCACTACAGGGGGCTCTGTAGGAGGCGGTCCGGCGATGGGAGGACCTGAGCAAGGAAACAGAACAGAGTTAAGGCTTAAATACACTGTCTAAGATTAAAAAGATTCTAGTGTCGATAATCTAGTATACTGCCCTCTGAGAAATCATATTTTCATTTACCCAGAGGAAGGTCGGTCGGTTTTGCCAGTGCACTGGGCACAGGGCGTGGGGCTCCGGGGTGGGTGTCTGAGATGGGCCGTGGGGCCCCGGGATGCACCTCTGGGATAGGTCTGGGTGCTCCAGGGTGAGAGGGAGGTGGTTGGCGAGACTGAGGGGGCATACTGATTACTCCAGCTCGAGGAGGGATATTCTGGATGATGAAGATGGAATAGAGAATATTAACAAATTAGGGTAAAAATCAGTAAAAAAATTGTCAAACTCCTTTTTGTCACAAATAATAAGAGAACTCACTGGTCTGGGAGCACTTCCAGGTCCAGGAGCTCCCACTGCGGCCTGGCCTCGACCTGAAAGAGTCACGACAGACAAACCAGCAATGTTAGCAACAAAAAATGTCTTACTATTCTGTATTAATCAAGAGGGCTGTGGCCCCTAGACAGAGATATAAGGAATAGCAGGCACATTAAGGGAGATGGGAGGTTCAAGAAAATGAAAAAAAAAAAAACTGCAAACCCATCCCAACCTATGACAGACTGAATTCCCTGTGGCTGACTTCATTATAAATGATGACTCAAGTCATTCCTGTGCTCCAGGAGGTCTGGAGGAGAGGCAGACCTTGTTCTGTGAGCCAACTGCTCACCGCACAGCTTCCAAGCACACACATCTTCTTTCACTATTCTCCTGCTGAATCCCTCTCGGAGCATGCAAATGTTCCCACGCGTCTTAGATGTCTGCATCTGTGTAATACTTCACTGTACAGTCACTAAACGTAAGTCAACCCTGCTATAACCCCACACACACACACACACACACACACACACACACAATTGACTAAACTCTATCTTCCGCCCTGAGGCAGGCTTAATTTCTTTAAGAGCAAAAACACATAACACAGGATTATAGTAGACAGAGGGATCATGTCTGCCCCATATCACTCCCAGCAAGTACAAAAAAACTACACACAAACATGGGCTTTCGTGGGAAAAATACAGACCTACATAATTGAATAACAATCCTTAGTCCTCTTTCAATGATACATTAAAACTAAGTGAGGCTATGTCATGCTTTGTGGCACTCACCTGCAGCGGCATCTGGCCGAGAAAGAGCGGGGCTTTTTGGTCCTTTGCAGCACAAAGTAAACCAAACCACATTACTGTTATTCACAAGAGTGGAATACTGGTCACGGCAGGCAGGTTTTCCTAATAACAACACTTTCCAAGAAGCACTAGGAATAGCGTATGGTGGTAATACTGCAGTGTGAGGATTTTCCCACTAATCATAGTGGATTATGAAGCCGAGTTGACTGAAAGACCATTTGAAGTCTGGACAAAAGGCATTTTCCTGACACGTTACTTCATACTGATCGAGTGCACACTTCCTCACTATGTGCAACCATTTCAGATGCTCCTCTGCAATGTGTGTACCTCATGACTCCTGATTATGAATTTTTAAGTAGCCGAGTTTAGGTGCATATCCTCCCTTTTACACAAGTTGTGATATTTACTTTCAGACCTCAATACAAATGTTTATAAGTCATTAGGAAAAATGCCTGCCCTTCTTTTTTTGTTGTTGTTTTATTTTTATTAATCCTTAACACTTGGCACTAATTGGTAGGGATGCATTACACTCATAACCACCACTGAATATTAAATAGGAAGAAGACATTTTGTCTTCTAGATAGAAAAGAATTTGCCTCCAGTGGCACTGTTATTATGTGTATTTGGTCCCTCTAGCCAATTAACCTCTTTGATTTTTGCATTCCCTGCTTATTTTGCATTTAAATAAGCTTACAGGCTACCAAACACATCTTTCACACACACACACACACACACACACACACACACACTCTCTAAGACGGCCCACAATGCTGTAGAGTTGGACAATGGTGATCCATCAATGTCAAAAAAGCATCAATGACATTGATGATTGGGTGTAAGACTACAGGGGTCAGATGATATTTAAAACCAGCAGTTACCTTCACTGCCTCTCCTACCAAGCAGTGGGCTGGGACATATGCCCCAGTCTTGAAAATCAAAGAGGGAAAAAAGTATTTTCAAAATAAAGTACAGCAGGGAACATAAGATTTTAGCTGCAGTGTTGTTGTCACAATATGAAAAAATACATCATGACCTACCAGCTACTTCCACATTAAATACATTCAAATAAGGGCAACAATGTCTAGGACAGTTAAAAAAAAAAAAAATCACACTACAACAGTACTCACTTTACACCACAGAGGAGGGATAGTCGTAAATATCATGGCAAGGCAAGCCACATTTTCTCTAAAGATAATTTACTTTCACCAAAATCACATAATATAGGGAGTGATTAGATGATGCACAAGAGGCACTGCATTTTGAACATCCTCCCTGAACTTGAAAACCTCATGAACACATACTTAATGCAGGAGTTATTCATCTAAAATCAAGCATGGCATGACTCAGCAACCACATGACCTCTTTCCCCTTAAAAAATTTATTCTGAGATTGTTTTTGGTGGTCAAAAATAAGTCAAAAAGCTGAAGCTAAACACAAGGACAGCTTTGTGGTGTGTACACCCAGTCAGGTGCAGGAGACGGTTCAGTCATGTCATGTTGATGTTTCAGTAAAGAAATTACTTTCTTGTTCAAAGTGAGCCATTATGCTTTTCCGTATTTTCTGTTTATTTAATGTTGGATGTTCATGTTAAATGTGGCCAAAGCTTCAAACAATGAGGTAAATGTATTTCAAAGAAATCCCTGTGAGCCATAACCTCTGATTTCCCACCGTTCTGAACGCTCCGGTTTGAACAGTTTTTGGCTTAAAGAGACAGGAGCATCAACAGCTTGTTTTGAGGTTGAAATGGGGGCCTGTATAATACTTTTTGATTTAAATGCAAAGTCACACAGGAGTCCCAGAACTACAATACAGGGCTGGAAATGCAGTGTAGGAAAAGTACAGTAAAGGTTGTATAACGAAATGACATTTGTAGGCCCTTCATGCTACACACACACACACACAGCAAATAACTGAATTTATATTAAAATATGATACAATAATATAACAGGTCACCTTTAAAGAATCATACAACCATCTGCATGCTAACGTTGTACTATGTCCAGGCAGTGACAATGCCACTGTGCAGAGCAAATGATTCATATGCAGAATGAAGGAGCAAATAAAAATTTGTGGGCAGGCTGTGCAATGCTAAATCAAAAGGAAAAGCAGGTCTGAAATTGTCTGAAATACTGCAATAAACTGTCAGTAGTCATATATGAAGCCCAAACAAGGTTCAACATGCTCAAGAGCACCTCTTTGACAGCTGAGTGATGGGTTTCTCTGGATTATCTATACGCTTTTTGCAATATGGCATGCTTAAGAAAATGACCATTCCTGTTCTGACATTATTGCCATCCATGATAAGTCAGAAACATTTTCTTGGTATAAAGCACCATATAAACTGAACTGGAATGAGCAGGGCCTACTGGCACCTTACTGAATCAGCAATGATGCGCTTCTCAGTGTGTTGCTTCAGATGGGGGAAAAAAAAAAGAAAAAAAGAAAAAAAAGACAGCAGCCACTACATTAAATGCTTCAGCTATGTAAGCACATAAACACACAGTTCCACAGCAATCACTTTACCTCCAGACTCCTTTCTAACTGGAAGAGGGCTCATGCCTCCTTCAGGAATGAGGCAAAGCAGTGGGATAAAAGTAAAAATGTTAACATCTGTCTCAAGTATTTCCTATATGAAAAAATAAATATCCACACTTCCAATGTAGGACTTTATTTACTTCCTCAGACTAAGGTTGTAGGATATATTTCTGTGATTCAAATATCAGATAATTTAAAAATAATTAATCAACTGTATACAAGAAGATTAAGAACGATGCTCTACCTGAAGGTGGTGGTGGGCGTTGGGGGGGTGCTGGTCTGGCTGGGGGGGCGTGGGGACGAGGGGGAGGCGGGCGTTTGGGCTCCATGCCTTGAGATGTGGGGGCACCGGGCTGGAAGTCAACAGGAGGCCCTGGAAAGAAGAAAATAAAAGAGTTGCACATTTATACATGAAAAGGGAATGGTTTAACAGAGGAACAACTTTTCATCATTTGAAATTGTTTCCAGAATTTGTTCCTTGTGCGCAGCCATGATTCAGTGTTTCAGACCATTCAGACCAAAGGAAAGAGGAAGCAAACACTGCACACATTTTAATACTACACATGTTTCAAATGGGAACTGGTAGTTAATAGTAAGACACACAGCAAGCCTTCTAACACCCAACATCGATTCATTCATTACACATCACATTTTACCTGGAAATTGTCTCCTCAATGATGATGGACTTAAATCTGCTTCCATGCATTACAAACAGAACAAGATTACAGTTTATATTCAGACAGGTAGAGGCTGGAGCCTGAGCAGATGATTAGCCTGATTCCAGGTGTGTGTCATGCAGCACATGCTGTATTTACCCTGTGATGGTCGGTGTGGTGCACGACTAGGCCTGTTAGGGGCTGCAGGTTCTCCGTGGGTGGGGGAGGAACAGGGACTACTGCGCGGGGAGGGGAGAGGGGAGGATCCAGGGCCACAGCCCGCTCCAGGCTGCAGGTGCTGGGGGAGGATCTCCTCCACCTCTTCATCCACATCACCTGGTACAGGAGACAAGAGAGCAGGAATTCATGTCCTTGAAAGTGGTAATCTCTACAGCCCTCTGGATATTAGTGGTGGTGAAAAACACAAACGTAAATTGGCATTTATAATATCCAAATTTTTGAGGATATGGATTAGGGACTGCTAGAGAGTCTCTCCTCACCTTCCATATCGTAATCGTCGTCGCCCATGTCCGTGTCCTCAGCAAGCAGGGTGGAGCTGGCTGAGGTGGGGATGCTGCCACAGATCCTCTCCACGCTCATCTCCTCCTCCAGACTCTTGATCCAGCCTGGACTCTTCAGACGAATGTCAATCAGTTTGCCAAGGACCTACAATGTAAGTGCGAGACATAGACAAGAGAGAAGTAGACATTGGTTACCAGGTATACAAGAGCTTGACACAGATCTTCAAAAGTAGCGCAGGGGTTATTAATGATGCGACTTTGAATTTAGACAACAGAGATGGATGTTAAGACTTATTAATAGACTCAGGGAAGACTTACAGTGGAAGCGCTGAGAGACAGAGCAGCAAGAGCAGAGTAACCTTCCAGGAAGGTCACCCACATCTTCTCCTCAACAAACCTGCATACACAAGGACACTGTCAATACAGTCTTACTGTCTGAAGGTGATACATGCCTTAGTGTGTTCCGATGTAAGGCTCACCTGATGAGGATGACCTCTCCAAACTGTGAAAACTTGTCCAGCAGCTCGTCTATGAGTGCGTCGTCAAAGTAGTCCTCAGGGCCGGAGGAGCAGAGCGACACCAGGATGGTGCCGTCCGGAGGCCCCTGCAGGGCAATGACTTCTTTGTAGACCTGGTGCCGAGCCTCTGGGTCGACTTCCAGGATGTCCACGTCTATTATTGACACTACAGGCCTACAGAAAGACATTGAGGACAGTGCTGAGATTTTATATATATATATATATATATATATATATATATATATATATGTGTGTGTGTGTGTGTGTTTTGGCACCATTGTTCTATTTCAGAGTCTGTATATCAGTTGGTTCCACTTGACATCACAACACAGATTTCGCATAAGATGGAAAAGCAGCAACTTAACAGCATACTATTCTGGTGACACTGAAATATAATTATTTTACTCCAGTCTTACAGATATATCTTGTTACCTACCGGTGGTCGGAGGTCTTAAGCTCAGCCCTGCCATAGTACTTTAGAATCCCAGGACTCCAGGGGTTGTCTGGATCATCCTCATTCCCCCCAAATGTAGATGCCCCCACTACATTCATCTCCTCAGCTGCAAAATATTCACAAATACATATACTGTATGTACAGAAGCACACAAACAGATAAAAGTATTCGTATGTTTCAGAAGTTTAGATTCTGTTATACACACATATAGAATGAAAGAAGGCAGGCAGGACAAATAAGCCAAAACCTTTTTTTTTCCCCAGTGTTGTCTTCATAAAATAGGTCTGAGATGGAAGGGAAATAGACTGGCAAGACTTAGCTGCAGTGTCTTTGCATCTTACCAGTTTTGTCAAAGTTCCACTTCCTCCTCTTCCAGAGTATGCGGTCAGTCCAGGCTGGTGTGCGGCACTTCTCACTGGTGTCATAATCTTCTGAGAATAAGTCATATTTATAGGTGGGGGCAAAATCTACCTTCCCCTCGATGAAACCTCGGAAAATCTGTAGAAAAAATGTCTGCGTCAGTACGGGCTACAAAACCCAGGGTCAGTGTTATGGTACACTGTTTTCTGTTGAGGGAAAGTGAAACATATCAGTGCTGTAAACATGCATGTGTGCTGTAGACCATACCAAACCAGCGTTCTTCTGGTCCAACAGCTGGTCCCCATCTGTCAAGGCATCCCAGTTCTGCTGTCTGATGAGCTCTTTTACTTCCTCATTGGGCAGGTTGATTCGATAGTTGAAGTCTCCACACCAGAAAATGTAGTCATGCGAGTACAGCAAGCGACCCTGGCAAGAACACGATGGATGCGTTTATGCTCATGTTATGCATAAATGTGCTTTAAAAGTCACTTGTTAATGTCACCGTTATTACCATGGGGAAGCTGAGTCTGCGTGTGATCTCATTGTAGTCGTCATTCCTCTCCTTGACCTGTGACTGGCCAGCAGCAAAGTGGGAGCAGACAAAGCAGATGCTGGTGGTGTGGAACAGCAGGCGGATGGCCACACCTCCTTTATTGCCTGTCGCCCCGCCCATTCCAGTTTTTACAGTATCAACAGCAACATCCCTGGAAAACACATTGAATTGTTACCATACCTGTGATTTACGTTACCATTAGATAAAGTGTACACGTAAGTGAGAATGTGTACGGTTTCATACCTGATGAATGGTGCGTGCTGTGGACGGATGAAAACAAACAGACACACTCCCACCAGCTGCTCTGAAGCAAGCAGCACATACTTGTGGTCCCGCGATATGTTTTTTTGTAGTTCAGCTGCCCAAAGTTTCTGGTTCGTAGTGCTGAGGCAAGAACAGAAAGAAAAAGATTAAAAAATGAATAAATAAATTTAAAAAACAGACAAGCTAAAAACATAAAGAGCAGAGTCAGCGGGAATGTTAACATTTCATCATGTTACAAAATATTCTTTATTCTTCTTATAGATATATAACCTACATAAATCCCATCTGGGTAAGTCATATTGAAATAATGTGTGGTGGTGATGGCGCAGTCGATAAGACACATGCCTTTGGTGTGAGAGACCACGGTGTCCCTGAGCAAGACACTTAACCCCTAGTTGCTCCAGAGGCATGCGACATATACAGCAATTGTAAGCTACTTTGGTAAAAGCGTTAGCTAAATGAATAAATGTAATGTAATGTGTAATCAGTATGTTTCCTGATCTTAATGACAACAAAGAGCAAATTCATAATCTGAGATAATTCACAGCCACCTTTAAAAATGACATTCTTATGGAGGACAAAGACAGGTCTGTTATCTCAGGCACACATACCTGGCACTGACAATGTTGCCAGCATTCAGTTCAACCATTTCCTCAAAACCAATGGCAAAGATATCTATAGGGTTGGCTTTGCTGTCTGTAAAGAAAAAAATTACACAATGTTTAACATAAATATCTGATCAAAATGATTTGGATATCTTAACATAATGACATTTTGTGAGTAGTATATTGATTTAAAACCACCGTCACTGTAGTGACAGCAGACAAGTGCTTTAATGAAAACGTTCTACTCTGTAATGCCAGTAATAAGTACAATGTTCTGCTAATCTATAGGCAGACTAGCCAACATGATAGTATAAAATATCAAATTGTCCTTTAAGGTCACCTATTTTAACTTTCACGTTTCAAGGCTCTTTCTTGTGTGAGTAAACGCATTCACCGAGCAAATGCTCAGTATGAACAATATCAGCTGCGGTTGACCATTTAGTTCCCTGGACCTCAGCTACAGCAAGTAGTACCTGAACATTTGTTACTAAAGAAGAGTGAAGCACTTCTATTCACTTTTCCCAGTCCACATTTTCTCCCACCTTTCACCCTGAAACTTCAAACTAGAAATCTCTTGCATCTTAAAAGAAACAGTTTAACATTTTGGGAAATATGCCCAGTTGCTTTCTTGAGTTAGAAGTGAAGATGGACACCAATAGATATAATGGTATAATAGTGGCACTATCATACTTTTATATCTATAACTTCCACTGTCACTTCCTGAAGTCTTGTCATTATTGTGAGGCACACAGCCAAGAGGTAGTTCTGCACATAACCCCGCTTTTAAACCACAACAGGTTGTTTTTTTTTGTATGGACTAAACAAATCAGATGTAGCGATATGAGAGTGAAAGCGAATAAGCATTTTTTACCAAAACATAAAAAATTCCTTTAACCTAATAAATAACGCCCTATGAAACATAATTTCCAGGGATGACATTTATCCTAACAGTGAGTGCAGATAAATACCAACATACCTTGGAACTCAGGATGGCCTGCCTTCTTTGGAGCATCCAACAGCCAGTCATTGATTGTCTGGTTTCTGTAAGCAATGCTGCGAAACTGTTTACCCCCGTTGACATTCCAGGTGCCGACACAAACCCGGATCTGCTTGGGCCTTGTGTATTTATGGTAGTTCTGACACATTCCAAGCAATACTCTTGGGGAGGCTGGAGAGTGGAGGGGAGTAGGGTTAGAGTGTAAAATGGTTGAGTATGTGTGTGTGTGTCTGTCTGCAGGAAGGGTGGCATACAGGCAAACAAAACAAATACAATAGAGGGAATGTTCTAAAACACAGGGCATGGGATTAAGAATACAAACCACAAATCTCACTGAAATAAACATAACATTCAATTAATCAACCTTGGTAATGGTTCATTTCTGTCTGTACATTTCCAAAGTGATGTCAAATTCATTGCAAAATTCAGCATCCTCTTTCATTTAAGCCTGATGATATGCAGCCGACAGAGTGTTACCACTACCAACGTTGAATTATAAATGAATGAACAATAATAGAGTAGCAAACACAAATGATATGAGAACTAGGTGACGGGATGAAAAGATCCATTCACTGGGGGCAGTATGTCAGTTACTATACCTGATTGTAAGACGGGCTCAGTGACTAAGATTGTGCGCAAGAGCGAGGGGGGGGTGAGAGAAAGGAGAGAAGGGCGGGTTAACCAGTTCTTTAACAGATAATTCTAGCAGAGCAGTTGTTAATCTAACTGGGACAGAAACTGACTCATGGAGATTACACTTCCTACTTGACACAGAGCAGATAAACACTTGTGCAGAGTAGCTTCTACAACAGATACAAAGCTCGTCAAAATATTCAAACAATCCTCCCCAGAAAGGAAATTATATTCTTTGATTTACAATTACAAGATATATGCAACTTGCAAAAACTTTGTTACACAATTTAAGTAAATTGTAAGAAGATGCAAACTGTTGACTCAATAAAACATAGGTCATATTCAATATATATATACATATCAATTACAAAGAATTACCGTAAAGACTGGAAGTGGTGAGCAAGGCCCGAGCTTTGTCCGCCAAATCACTGTTGAGTGTGGAGCCCAGCCTCAGGATGTCTATGGCCTCCTGCTTTGAACTGTCAAAGAAGTTGTTCTGGATGGTCCTTGTCACAGAACGAGCTCCATCTTTTAGCTTTCCCGCCTACAAAACAGACACACACAGACACACACACACACACAGACACACACACTTCAATTAGATAAAACCACCTAAATTATTAGCTATATTTTCACTTGTTGTGGCGGGAAAAAAAGTTGGTATTTTCCAACCATGGAAGAGAAGAAAAGTAGGAACACATGAGAGACACCCAAGTAATACTGATTTTTGAACTGACCAGGAAGGATCAAAACTGCCAGACATAGCACTTTAAAATGTCACTGATTGATGTGTAACATAATTAATGGCAATAATAATTTTGATTCCTCCAGGTGCATCCAACCAAGACCGCAGATGTTGCAAGTTAATTTAAGCAAAAATAGAAAATGACAATAACAACAGCTATTTCCCTTTGCTTTTTTGCTCCTCTTAACTAGATTCTAACTAGACGTAGATCGGCAGAGATCCCCATGGAGCTTTCAAGAGTTGCCAGGTCAAGACAGTATGCATCACCAGAATACTTCGAGGAGAATAAATCACTTTTCATACAAAAAGGAGGTCCCACATACCCCATCCTGCATCATCATCATCTAATCCAGACACTGAAATCCAATGCACCAGAAATAGACCCACAGCTCAAAAACAACATCAACTGGCTCGTTAACTTACCACACAGGTAGAGAGGTCCAGAGGATAGCAGAAAGAGATAGCACACAAGTTAAGAAACAGAAGCACACAGTTCTACACTCAGAAAGGATTGACTGTTCATGCAGAACTCACTGCATCTATGGCTGAATATCAAAGTCCAAAGTAACAACTGAAGTCCTCAGTTCTGTCAACACACAGTACAGGACTTCTCCCTTTATTGTACAGTTCTGTTTGTGGCTATTAATGTGTCACAGTCATGAAAGGGGCCATGACTGTGAACATGCTTGATCATAGATGAACTGGTCACAGGTCAGGTGACAGTAGGTTGTGAGGGCTGATACTATTGAGAGACTCCGTGAACCTCTCTTGGTGTACCAAAATAAAAGAAGTTCATGATAAAATAACTGAATTTTCAAACAGTTTTTGTTTAAGGTGGTAAAACCTACATATCACCGTTTTGACACAGCTCCTGCTATATTTTCTTTCTATAGTTGAAAGTGAAGTTTGCTGAATTTGCTTCAATCAAATGCTGTCACTGACAGTTCCATGTTCCCTGCCAGTATCAACGACTGGGAGGATGTTGTTACAACAGGCTGAGCGTTACTGTAAGTAACTTCTAACAGTATCAGGTGCTAAAATTCGTAAAATCATGGAAATCCTACATCAAATACAACTTTGATAATCTGCTGAGCATCACATTTTTGCCTCAATGGTTAAATTGTGATTTACTGTGAATTTGTATATTCATGTTGTGTACCTTGGCCTTGCCATCCAGGGCACCAGTTCCAGCATAGATCTTACTGACGGAGTCTCCGTTTGCAGACCACATGGTCCGAAAAACCTCCTGGAACCTGGCCACCAGCTGGGGCTTCTCTGTCAGACCCATTTCCTCCAGCTGTTTTGGCAGCATCTGGTGTGGTAAAGAATAGTGGGTTTGACTAAAAGCATTATCACTAAATACAATGTCCTTTGACACAAGAAATGCAAATGCTATTTTATAACAAAACAAGAGCATAAAACACAATGTGACACGGTCCTACCTCAAGGGCAAAGAAGGCCTGGACGCTGTTGGTTCTATCCAGACAGTCCAGGCAGTTGGTCCTAATGGTCCCACCCTGAGTCCTAAAAAGATGTCAAAATGTTAAGAAGCAATAACAAACATTATATTATTTTATAGAATTTAAAAGGTTCCGTGTGTAAGATATAAGGGGATCCATCTGCAGAATATGGCTCAAAGACTGCATCTAGAGAGGGCCTTTCACATTTTTTCGCGAGTTTCACAGCCACCGTAGTTTCTCCTACACGTATAGAATGGGAGAGCGAAGCGAGTGGTTTTCACTGCTAGTTGCCACTAAATCCTACACACTGCTCTTTGTACTTTGTACTTTGTACACTACTTCTTTGTTGGTATTTATTTCTCACCTTACGATACCCGTCTCTCCTGAGTAGTAGAAGAACCCACATTCCTCCATGAACTTGCTGACGTAAGGTTTGAGGACACTGTGGAGTTTGTCTGCCTTGCCTCCCTTCACATTTTGATGGTAGTCAAAGTTCACCATTTTCACTGCTGTTGAATGCTCTGATGCCTTCAGGTGACTCTGAGAGTGACAGAGAGAGGAAGAGGACTCATTCCCAGAAATTCAAACTGAATGCAAAAACATTGTGCATGCAAAGTGCGTTGCCTTTACCCACAAAGCAACATCAGTTTGCATTCATTAATACAAAACCAATGGCTTGAATTCCCAGGAAATTCTTTGATTGTAATCTGTGAACATTCATCGGTTAACAGCTGTTAATATAGTCGACTATGCTTACTCATTAATAGTAAACATTTACATTTAAAGGCAATGTTTTGTACATTTCACTTTCAATTTGCTAAAACACCCACAGCACACACTAGATGTCATAAATAGACCATAGACAAAAATGTGACCTTACAAGAATTCACAGTACTGGCATTGGAATAAGGAAGAATTCCTTGCTGTCGCTAGTGTGTGGCTTTACAAAGAGAATAAAGGCAGCAACTGTTTTGACACGCATCATTTGCAGCCAGTGCGTTTTGGACCAAGTCTGTTTTGCTAGGAGCATTAAATAAATGTCTTACAGTACATGTCAGTGTCGGGGGACAGAAAAAGGTGCCTCTCACCTGAAACGCTTTGCTGAGCATGTGTTCCCCTTCTTTACTCCCAAGCAGGTTGATGATCACCTGTTTACCATACAACCTCCGCAGTGCAGTGAAGTGTCTGGAAAACACATACACAACCACATAATAAGCATTGTAAAGGTTTAAAATGACATCACAGAATAATGGTGCATCAATACCAGCACTCATCATAACATATGAAAGTATTCATGATTAGGAGTGTTTAAGCTTGATAAGGATCTCTCAGATTAAATCCTGATAAACCCACTGACAGGTCTGTATCATTTTTTTTTTTCAAACTTTTACGTGTAATGCAAATTACTTTGAATGAGACATGACATATCAAAAATTAAATATGAATGTGCAATGAATTCCAAAGTTGTATAAATCCTAATAAACTGTAATCTTTATTTATATTTCAATACATCTTTCTTCAGTTGTGACACTTGCACCTGAATAGCCGAGGGACTACATTACACAAATGATGGGGATTAATCATGGGTGTACATAATAAGACTTAGCTTATGCATGTTTTTGCAAAGTTGTAGAGACCGGATATGGATGGAATGGCAGCGCCAACCAGCAAAGAGAAAAGCAGACCTAGACGACACTCTGCTAGTGTTACAGTGTTTAAAAAAGATGTTATTGTTGGCCTTGTACTATCTAAGGAATTTCGACAAAGACATATTAGGCTGTCACTGCATTAGACTGCCTAGATATTACAAAGGATTAGTCATACGTCCTAATCTGGACAGATATTGACCAGATGTGCTGCCAACTACTAGTGTGAAAAAATGACTAATTTGTTGCAAAACACAAATGGTGCATCTGACGTGCTTGTCCTGACATGCTCAAGATATTTATAAGCAACAGGAAACATTTATACTGAGCTCAGCCCTGCTGAGTCCAAGATCAAGATCTAGATCTAGAAAAGAAAGAACCACTAGTGGTCTTCAGAATTTTACATAGCTTCACATCAACATGTTGCCTTGAGTGAACTGCATGGCTGTGCTGAGACTGATAGGGTGGCTACAGAAAGTTGATAAGGAAGGAGCTATCAAGGAACTATCAAGGTGTGCCACAGTGATTAGGGTGATCAACGTTCTTCTACAGGACCTGGTTTTAGTCCCAGTGACAATCTGTCTTAAATGTCCTTAACTAAACTAGAAACTCTGGATGCTGCTGCTCTGTTGCTGACCCAGCATCTGCAATGTGTCTAGACAGGGAAAGGCTGCAAAATTTAAATTTCATTTTTTGGTATCAGGCTGATAACCTGGTCTCCACAATTTACTGCCAGTCAAGACAAGACGAGTAATCAAAGAGCCAATCCATAGCTACAGAATACTGTAGCTATTTTTCAGAGTACAATTTGGAAAAATACAACTACCGAGAAGAAATAATTGCATAAAATAGTCTCTGGATCTGAATTCATAAGTAAAGAATTTCAGTACTTTATTGTTTAATGATGATTAAACCCCCCCACACACACACACACACATACACACACACACACACACATACATACACATATTTCATTAAATCCACTGTTAAATAATTTCATCTCCAAAAGAGATATGCAAAAAGTCAAAGAAGTACTTTTGCAAAGAAACTGTCAATATAAAATACGGGTTTATTCAGGTCAACTGCTAATCAAAGGCTACTAATGTGTCCTTTCTGTTCCGTGCAATAAACCGGCCTCTGAGGACACACTTCAATTAACATCTTCTCTTCAAGAAGTCTGGAGAGCTTTCCTCTATTGTGGTTGAGGCAGTGACTGCAGGAGACATAGCATTATGGTGTCTCGCCTGCTTCTTAGAGGAGTGGTAATCTTTTGGAGGCCAGATAAAGCAGCTGAAAACTGCCACACACACACACACACACACACACACAGGCGTTTTAATTACCTTTCAAATGCTGGCGCATTTGCCTCAAATCCTCTTGAAAGTTTGACACGATGAGAGCCAACCTGCAGAGTAGAGACAGCAAGAAAAGACACAAAAGACAGAAGTCACAGTGTCCTTAACTTAAAATCAAATCCTTTAAAAGACAGTTGTCCAAACACACACGATGCAGATGACCAGAAAACCTGGTGGTGAAGAATTAGGTTGGGATTGAAATTTTGGATAACATCGGAAACAAGACCTTTATACCGTAGTGGAAAAAACATGAATGGCATAGGACAACAGCGACACAGGGGCAGCATAGGGAAATTTGTTCATACAGAGACAGATACCGAGCAGCTGAGAAATCCTGTTGCCTGTCATCTCTCAAACACCTTTAATGGAACTTTTAATAGAAGTTTTCCATTGCCTTTCTGCTTGCTTTTTGTCTCACTAACGCTCATACACACTTCATTTTGAGAGTATACCGGTGCTGGCTGAATCACGAGAAACACCAAAGAGCCTTACAGAGAAGCAAAGTCAGGCATGGCTGCACCTTGACAGGCCTAGCAGGACCCCTTTGCAGTGGCTGTAACACGGAAATCTACTCCCTTTGCACTGCACGTCCTTACTTGTTCCCTTGTTGTTCCCCAGCCATTTGTGCCTGTGCACAAACTTTCCTGACATTTATTCATCTTCTTTTGCTTTTCAAATATCTGCTCTTCCTGTCTCTAATAGCTTGTCATCAACGGAAAAGAGGGGAAAAAAAAACAAAACACGTCATCATCCCTCCTGCATCATTCAGATTCTGCCTCCTCATTCTCAACTGATCACTCACTTCAGGTCACGAGCACCATACTCGCATTCTGGATCCAAACCAGTCAATCATTTTTACCACTGCGTTTTCTCTGGGGACATTATTGGGATCTCCAGTGTGCACTTTGCCTCTCACTGTGTCCTTGTGGGAATTTTCCTTCCTTCTGAGTCCAGTTTCTCCCTTTCTTTAACACCGTCTTTTCCTCTGCTTTATGTGTGCCAATTTTGGTTACGCGTGCGAATGGCAGGGCGAGACATTTTGCTCCATGCTGCGTCCATTTTGTCACTCCTTCCTCTCTCTACTGTTGTGCAGGTCTATGTTATGCATATTTAATAACTTCCTGAGATGGCATCTGAAAGGACTCATGTTACAGCTGTACACCTCAGACCAAAATTTTACTCCAGCTCAACAGATAATACATGGAGTGTAACTGTTCAAATAACCCTTTGAACTCTTTGATAGTCCTAAACTACTAAAAGCAATCTCCACAACATATTTCAATGTTACATATCTCATGCCATTTAATAGGTGTGTCCTTGAGTAAAGAAACTGTTACTTAACTATTAATGATAGATAACTAATAAATTAGGTGAGGAAATTCTATCTGTAATTGAATTATTAGACGGTTGAACGCACTTGTTCAGAAGGATTTCTTAATTTGATAAAGGCTCTTTCCCCAAAACTATTATAAAAAACATATTACTAAGATTTTCATCTACCTAGGACTCTAACAACTTATTGATTAAGAGGGGGCAGTACAAGTCAGAGAATAATTCACAACTATTTCTAACGTAAACTAACTGTAGCGAGATCAATAACTCTTCTTCTGGATAAACCGAAACTATCCATCCTGCTCAGGGAATGAATTACAGAGTATAGGCAGGAGAAAAGAAGCCTACTAAGCCACAATCGGTAGAGGGGACTAAGACCTAAAAGAGGGCTTTATAAGCAGGAGGACTACAGTTATGTCTGAAAACAACCCCGAGCCCACGACCCTGTGTTTTGACCAAACCATAGACCTGAATAGGATAATATGTCTTGGCTCCTCTTGGCCCTCCAACAGAGTTAACAGCTCTGTCTTCCATATTATCAATCAACACTTATCCAGTTGCCTGGGGAATATCAGCTAAGTGAAAGAAAGGGAAGTGGTTAGGGAATGTTTTCAGACCAGGCTCTCACCTGACCAAAGATGTCTGGGAGCTGAGGAAAACAGAAAAATGCCCTTTACCAACCACTGTATCTATCATTAACCTCCCCCACGTCTGAACTAATCCACCAGTCTGTGCAATGTCAGGACAAGGGCAGGACAATCCCAGAGATCTTGTTTATGGTGTGCATGTAATAGGTGATTCTAGTTCCTGCTTTAAATCTCCAAAATAGCATTACCTGGACAGGTCCTGTGTATGGGACCTGGATAAAAATCAATAATGGGATTGCCTTGGTTTTCACCCCTGGCCTTTGGCATAGCACAGAGAACCCCCTATCTGCAGTATGAAAGCGCCAACACCAGCAAGAGCCAAAAAAAAGAAAAGGTTATACCAGGTGGGGGTTCTCATCCAGCGCTTTAGGGTGCCGATTCTCATTCAGGTGCAACAAAACACCTTTAATGGACTTTTTCTGAACACAGTATGGACAAAATGTGTTAAAACTAGGATAAAGATATCCAGTGTAATTACAAGGAGACATCTCATTCTCTAAACACTGTCTTAAAGCTAGGGTAGACATGTTGGAGAACTAGCAAGAGAGAGCTAGACTTTGAACGTATTCAAACAAAAAAACACAACAGAACAGCCCCTTCCTTCAGGTCTCCTTCCAAAGCATCTTTTCATAGGTAATTAGTGGACCGGCAGAGTGTTCGGGGTAAGTAGGTAGGTGGATAGGTAGATAGGTAAGCCAACAAATAATTTCAGAATGAAACCTTACAGTCCGATGACAGCCACATTTTTGTGTCAAAGCATTTGATTTATTGATTGCTATCGGGATGTAAAGAGAATTTCAACAAATATAACAAAAAAAGATTCTGTATACCCTGGCTTTAACACACAAAATGCCAAATGAAAGGTTTTTTGTTTTGTTTTGCAAGAGCTCCAAAGATGAGGGCTTATGATTTTCATGTAATGAAAAACCTCACATTCACCATTCAATTGTGGCTGTACGTGATAGATTTAGTTTCCATTACCTGGATTCCTGGCTGTTCCCAGAAAAGAGGAATGGACCCACGGATCTGTATGAAGGATGAGACTTTGTCATCCAGAAAGATAACCTATACAAAACAAGAGGAAAGTTTGGTTAAGTTAATTTGCAATGTAACAGAACACACATGTAGTGATAAAAACACTGTATTGCAACAAATGTAAAGAAAAGAGAAAAAAAAACAGATTAAACACTTAATTTCAAAACAGACCCAATCGACCACCCAAACAACAAAACAAACTATGGAAATTAAAAGTAATACAGCCTTATTAAAACTATACCAAACTAACATAATTTAAAATCATCTATGACTGTAAAATGTAGAGAGGGAAATGACTCTAAACAATACTAGCATGTGTGTCTGTGGCCGCTTTGTCAGGACACAAAGGAAACGTAAAGGAGAAATCAGAACGACACACGCACATTTGTGAGGCCCAAATCACTCAGCATCACCAAAATCTGTCAACACTACAGGGCCAAAATAATCAGAACACCTGACAATACCATATTATCCAATACAAAAACTTTGCAATTACCACTATACATCTGAAGCTTGTAATGTTCAATTTCTATTCAGACTTTAATGTTGACTGACCTCTATGGTCATTTTTGAGGCAGCAAATACGTGTGGATGCATTGCATTACATTGCATTGTAACTCTAGTAGTTCCATTTATTCTGTCCAACCTACAGCTTTGTGTTTGTTTCCTGAAACAGGAAAAAAGGAACTATAAAAAAGGGAAACAGTTAGTTGAAAAGTAAGCTTGCAAATTCATATTCATGTGTTTTCTGTCAATGTGTGGACTGAAATAAAAGCGTGCAACAGATTTGCTCCTGAACAGTCAATAGATAACCAGTGTTTAAATAGACTGTATTAATCAAGGTCACGTGACTCTAAACACAAATGTGTCCATGATACATGTTGAAACCACTTAGACTATTCCACCTATTATTTATTAACTGAGTCAGTATTCCATACACATGACTCCTCTATCAAGGCAGTTGGCTGACCACCAGGAGTCTAGGTTCTGCTCGAGGATACTGTCTATTAAAAGCGAGTTTTTCCTCGCCACTGTCACCAAGTGCTTGCTCATGGTGGGAATTATTGGGTCTCTGTAAATAATATTATTTATGTAAGGTCTAGACCTGCTAAATATGACAACTGCTCTGAGATAACCTTTTATTGATTTGGCAATATGCAATTGAAGTGAAGCTGAACAGGCCACAATATGCACAAAGAATACTAACATCACAGCTTTAAAGCTTTCAGCAGTACAGAGGTACCAGCAAGGATGCCCACTCTCCCCCTCATTATCCACAATTTTCACTAAACCCCAGCAGCAGCCATTCGTCAACATGTCAATATGACCGGTCTCCAAACTGCTAACACACAACATAAAATGAGTCTTTACGCAGATGACATAGTGCTCTTCCTCCAAAACTCTTCAATATCATTGCAAGACACCATCTTATAGAGCTGTATTTCAAGCTACTCTATTGACTGGACTAAACCAATCATCCTCCCTCTCAGCATAAATAGCTGGGAGCAGCAACCCATACACCACTTTATATTATATTTAGGTATCAAGATTTCCCCCAAACATGCCAGAGTTGTTTAATCTGAAACTCACCCAATTACACTGAACAATAAATGATGACCTTTCAACATTGGACAATGCTACCAATATCCATCATGGGCAGAACAGCAACAATAAAAATTACAACACACCTAAAAACAAATGATCTGTTTTCAATTAGGCCTATCCCTATTCAGCCATTAGTTTCAGATTTTCTCAACAACACATCTCCAAAAAAAAACTCCCATCTAAGAAAAACAAAAAACTGATATCCAAATCTGACAACAATATCTGTAACACCAGTAAATTGGCAACAAGATCTATTCATCAATCCCACTGCCGACTCCTGTCTCCTGAATAACTAACATTTACACGTAGCTCATACAGTACAAGGTAATCCACAGAGTGCACCTCACTTGGCAAAAAATGTTTAAAATGGGATTCGCACACTGAAAACTGACTGCACACAAAACATCCGTGACTCCTACTTCCACACTACTTGGCACTGCACTCCCATTTCCTCTGTATGATGATGTATATGTATATGATGATGATGACTGTCAATGTCAAACTATTTTGCTTTCCCGTCTCAATGCCACACGTCCACCATTGTTTAACTCTGTCTCACTTCTTTTATTGTTTTGTTATATTGCACCAATGAAGAAAAAAGTAAACAAGCAAAAACAAATTGGCTAAAGCTTTTCAGTGTGTGGCAGAATATGTCACTGCCTCCCGCTGGGCTTGCTCTGACAGGCACCTGACAACAGAACTTACATGCTTATAGCTTATAGAAACTGATGCAACTGATGATCACCAGCTTTTATCAAATTACCTCATCATAAGAAGAGAGATTCAAGAAAACTGTCAAAGGTCTGAGTCACCTGTTCAGTCTCCACAAAGTTGGCCACCTGACCATCGTCATTTGTTCCTCGGACATTGAATCGCGTGCCAGCTCGCTCTGAGCTGAGGCGGGAGAAGATGCAGGCCTTGGCCTGTTTGTGCCCTGCATAGATAGTCCTGATCTCAACACCACCACACATCAGCCTCAACAGCCAGTCGTCACAGTTTACTCCATAGTGTTTCAGGTGCAGGTGCAGAGATTGGTTCCTATTGGTTCATAAAAGACAGACACAATAGTAAACACAAAGACAAATTCAGTGTGAACAGTGAATTCTCACACCTTAGCAGCAAATCACACAGACCCCATTATTACACATTCAGAAAAAAATATTTTACCACAACGTCTACAGTGCAGATTGCAGAACACTTATGTACAGTTCATCTACTACTACAGAGATTTTAAAAGCCAAACACCTGCCTTCTAGTCTCCTTATAACCTTGGAACAGTAATCATTTCATGGTCTTACCAAAAGAAGCGGTTATCTGTAGTGTCTTCTAGAATCCTGCGATGTGCATTGAGACTCAAGTCCATGCTGACTCCAGAGGCAGACCAGGCAAAGTAGAAGTGTCCTGAGTTCAGGACCTTTCGCACCTCAGCGATGCGGTCCTCATCTGCTGGATCATTCTTCAGTGATATAAAGTCTGTCTGTGTGACCCTGAAAACCTCTGAATCCTGTACCTTCCCCACAGAGCTGCATCCTGTCACAACCACCAGACTGTGAAGCATGGAGTCACCTGCAGAAGTAAGGTGGAGTATGGCAAAAAGAAAGGGACATGAGCAGGAAAACATTATACATGGTGGATTGTAAAAAGGAAAGGTTGGAACCAAGCAGTATGTCAACAGATATGAAGCATTTCATTAAGACAATATTTAAAAAATAACTATTTAGAGACTGCACAAGAAATGGTTAATTAAACTTTGGTGCAGCTTTATAGGAAATCACCAGCCAAGTCAAATCTCAGCCATCTATAAGACTGAGCTTTAATCTTTTACACTGTGTTTTCCTTGTTGTGATAACAAGAGCCTTCAAGGTCATGTAGAGGACAGCACAAAGCAGCTTATAAGTAAGCAGCACCAGGACTACAAACCAGAGAGCCTTCACAGTCACACAAGAACCTGGGGGTCACACTCTGGACTGGACCCAGGACATTTCTGCAACAAGCAATAAATAAAGAAGATGTTTCTATAGCTTACCCAGGTTTAGGCGGAGGACGCCCAGGATTCCATAGGCATCAACAATCTTGGTGTATGTGTTTTTAATGGCATCCTTCTCTGCTGCCGCTAGATACAAACAAAAGCAAATTAATGTAAAGAAAACATTAGTAGTACTCTCCCTTAAACCTAAAGTTAAATGTAGCCTGCGACTTAATCATAGCACAGATACAGTCAATCATATGTCTCTTATAGCTTTATTTCCCCTTTACCATCCTTATTTGGGGCAAGAGTTGAACAAGTATTTCAATAATCTCTCATTACAGTGCAATCAAACAAGGTGCCTTACACAGAACGGCAACAGCCCCAGATTCAAACATGAGGCATTCTTCCCTGGTCCTGGTTTCCACTATGACACTGTAGGGTGGTGGGTCCAGCTTGTGGTAGATGCGATATCCCTTGCTGAAGGCCATTGCTGATCCGAGATGAAAAAACCTATATTATGACCTGGAAACCAAAAAGAATTAATGACAGAAGATCAGATAAGAGGCATTCCCAGTCAGACACAACATCTGCAATTTAATTGTTACTAGAGAACAGCATGATCTAATTATTTTTGATGGAGAGATGACATGATCAGACCATACAGCTCTTGCTTTTTAGGATGCTTGGATCAAAAATTTAGTTATAAAATGATGTATTGCATACGTTGTGACTGAACCAAAGAAATGCGTTACAAAAACTAAATGTTGTTACTTGTACACCACTCTGCTTGCGGGTAATACAATAGTACGGTTTCATTTTTCTTAATTTCTAATGAATCGCCTAACGTTTCCAATTAAGGAAATGTCATATTATTATGCAATAACGTTACAAATTGCGAGATGATCAGAATGACGAGAAAACTTTCATTGTCACTGTCAATTACGGACATATACATTACGAGCCCACTCACATATGAAAAATTAATCTTTTTTTTAACTGAATATCGCAGGTAGGCCGGGGGACTCATATATCATCCATCCTGACACGGACAGTCACGACTTTGTCGAGCAACTGCAGCAGGCGAAGCTAACGCTAACCCGCCAGCTAATAGCCGCTAGACTGACAAACAAACTAAGAAAACGAGAGACATAAAATGATAAAGCGAAACCAACTTGCTATCTTTCACCTATCTAACGCTAGCTGGCAACGTTAGCTAAGTGAGCTAAATTAATCACAGGAATAGCTATGGTTAGCTGACGATATTTTGATGATGTTATACGGTCATTTTACTACCTGAACGTCCGGGATAACAAGAAGACAGTTACAAATGCATTAATTTGAGCGACTCGGCCATGTAAATCATATACATCTGTGCAAGCATGTACATTTCAGCTTTAGCTTACAATTGTATGTTCGATTTCAATCACACAGAGGAAGTGCTACGGATTTCACCTTACCGTTTCCCCCGCCGGGCTGTTACTCCGCTGTCACAACAAAATCCTTCCCGGTGTGTTGGCAAAATGGTACATTCCGACGCAAAGCACGCCTACCTCACGTTACCGTAATACGTAGTGAAATGGTAGCGTGCGCTTTTCTACAAGGCCAACAGAAGCATTTTTTTTGGTACATAAATAACAAAAAATTGCAAGCTAAATCCATTAGAAGTCCCTTAGAGGTCAATCAAACACGTTAGGTTAATATACATTAAAAATCATTTTACAGTCACAAATTGTTATCGTCCACTTAAAATTATGACTGACAGCTCCTCTGTCGAATAAACGAAGCCTTGGTGGACTGCTGTCCAATCGTACATGGTGACGGGCGGGACTTGGGTGTTTCATAACAACGCCGTGCACTTCAGTATAAAATGAGCTCTGATCTACCTCGTAAACAGAATGTTTGCCGGGTTCAATGGATTGAAACGTGATCAAAGCGATTTTCTGAAAGGTATGTGTTAGACTGTATGTCTTTGTCAACACTCTATATAAGAAAATAAGGTATTGGTTAAGCTGTTGTTATCTTACATTGTGTGTTGCCTAAGTTACATATTGACCTAGCCCAGATCAACAGCATTCTGTATTTAAGGCAACAAACAAACATTAAAGTTACATGGTTATAATGCTTTGCAAACTCTGCTGGTATGCTTCTCTTAGTTTAAAACGGCAAAACACATCAGCAATGGTAAATGAAGTTAGCAGCAAAATCATTGGGATTTAGCAGATAAAGCTAACTGAACTATACAATAGACTGACTGACTGTCTGATAGTTCTCACCACCTGCATGCAGAATTTAAGATGCTGCCTTCTGGTTCCCGCTTCGGTCAACCACAGGCCAAAACAAATCGATATAAATTCTCCTCCGTTCCCTCTGCTATCTCTCTGCTTAACTCTGTAAAGAATAGGTAACGTCTGCACATAAGGTTCACTTGAACTTAAACTTTTAATGTTGTGGTATTCATCTACCCATTGGTCTGACCCTGTATTTTTAATCGATGTTGTCGTCTTTGTTGTTATGTACTGGGTGTCACCTTCTTTGCTACTGCAGCAAAACTAATCGCCCCTTGGGGACAAATAAAGGTCTTGAACTTGAACTCTCTCATGGAGGATCCTCAAAAGGCAAAAACAAATACACAAATATTATCTGCACTTCCACGAGGTAGAAAATTTTGTGCTTTTTAAAAAGGAACTGTGTTTTTTCGTGTGTTTACCCTGCATACTGTACCTGACCATCTAAGTGAAATGTTGAAGGTTGCAACTTGCTACAACATAATGGTCTTTATCGAGCTGTTTAATATTCTAAATTAGTTACATTTAGTGTAAAACAAAAATGACAATGCCTTACTTAAGCACTGTCATATTTTAAAAACCCAGCTTCAGTTAACCTGTCTTTTCACCTTTTCTTTCCTTTTCTGTGTTTTCAGGGAATCTTGCTGACCTTCAAAATGAAGGGTCTTTTCCTCGTGGAGCCGGTGGTTGCCCTGTACGCTTTCTCCAGTTTTCTCATCTATCCTCTTGTTCAGCAGTATGTGTACCGGAGGTTCTGGCAGCAGGTGACAAACACCACCTATCCCATCTCTGACAACACCTCCAGATGTGCAGCAAACAGCAGCAGCAACTATTCAAGCTACCATGAGGTAAGTCACTAATCACTGGATGTAAGAGAGCATGCATTTAAGCAACTCAAGGCAAAGGAGTATTCCCAATTACAAATATTTGGAGGATGTTTCATTATATTTTTCCTTCCACTTAAAACACAACATTTACAGTCTAAGAACGACTGACATTTTGTAATAACATTTATAATGTCAATAATTTTTTTTAGACTTTAGAGACAGGCCTGCCTTCTATATTGTTATGCATGTGACGATGACTGAAATCGTTGTGTCATGGTCTCTGTGCGCTTATGAAAAGAAATGTCTTACTGACAGCAACCTGACACAGCATACATTCACAACCCTTTCAGATCCCCTCTTGCGACACAGCTCATATAAAAAGAACTGATTCACATCCTGCGCTATAAGGTGATATGCAAGGGAGACATGAGACTAAATTTTACTGCTCTGAACTCATACAGACATACTGTAGTAGCAACACTTTTGCAAAAGAGTGATAATCTTATTAAATCACTTATCCTTTCAGAGCACATAATCACTTTTCAATTCACAACAATTGAGTCTGCAGTACACCAGGGCTTACTGAAGGATTTAGAAGAAATGGCCTTCAGCAAAAGGTATTGGTACCGTTTTTTTGTTTTGTTTTTTTATGGTCATGTAGCAGAAGAATAAAACGGAACAAGGAAGTGAGAAAAAACGCACTGATCTGGAAATGCCTGTTTTTGTCTGAGAATAGCCACTCCTGCACCTGTTGTTCACTTTGTTCCTCTGGCCCTGAATAAGAAAACCTGCGCTGCTTTCATGACATTAGATTGCCACTATCTCTGTTTAAATTATGTCATGTGTAGGATTGTTGCCAGCATGTGAGTAGTTATTTTGCATTCTGAGGCCTGCTATCACAGTTGAATGTGGACAATCAAGTGTTAGTCCATACATTTTTTTTTTTTTACGCTTAACTATGCTCTCTCTTTCTGTGTTTCCAGGAGGTACAGAGGCAGGCATCTATTTTCTTCCTTTACACAGACCTCTTCTCCACAATCCCCTCTTTGGTTGTCACACTCTTGCTTGTGGCCTATAGTGACAAGGGAGGACGAAAGATCACAATCATAATGCCTTTGATTGGCATGCTGATCTACACCTCGGCCTTCCTGACAGTGTCCTTCTTTGAGCTCAACATTTACTTGCTCATTGGCTCCTCAATTCTCACTTCTCTGTTTGGCGGCTTGGGTACATTTCTGGGGGGGCTGTTTTGCCTATATAGCAGACTTGTGTGAGGATGGTCGTGAGAAGACACTGCGCATGGCTGGACTGGACATGATGATTGGCCTGTTGTCTGGGGTTGCCTCAATATCAACCGGCTACTTTCTGAGAGCTGCAGGCTTTAACTGGCCTTTCCTAACATCTGCGTTATGCCAGTGTTTGATCCTAATCTATGCCATTTTCATCCTAGAAGAGACCGTAAAGAAGGTTCCCACTAATGCCATTATTCTAGATGGGTCTCCTCAGCGCTCAGCCTTGAAACAAATGATCCACAGGGTCTACCAGATGTTTGTAGGGGCCAGCCGCAAATACACAACTGTCTTGATCCTTTTGATGCTCATCTTCACCTGCTTCTCCTTTGCATATGTGGGTGGGATCACCTTGATCACACTATATGAGCTTAATGAGCCACTGTGCTGGACTGAGATTTTGATTGGTTACGGCTCAGCACTGTCCACCACTGTGTTCCTGGTCAGTTTTGTGGGAGTTTCAGCATTCACGTACTGTGGTGTGCCACAGTTGGTCATTGTCCTGATGGGGATCCTGTCCGTCGTATCAGGCATGGTCCTGCTGGCGTTTGCTAAGACCACTTTACTGATGTTCATAGGTGAGGAAAAACTTCTATAACAACTGTGCTGCTGAATGACTAAACCTTGCCTGTTAGCTGTTTACAAGGTTAACCATGTGCTGGAACTGAATTATTACCTGTACCTGCTTTTATTTTAGCTTGCCCTGTTTTCAGAGAAGTAATGTATAATTTAGTTTCACTTTAACTGTAGGTTAGATATTGGAAATTGTGTTTATATTATGTACTGGAGTTTTGGCCTTTTAGCCTTGTTTAATAACTGACATAAACTGACAATAATAACCAACACAAATGAAGCAATGTAAATATCTGTTTATGTAGCCCTTTTTCCAAAATATTACAAGCAGCTCAAAGTGCTGTATTTAAAATAAATGGCTGTAAAAAAAGACATGTCAGATCATATTATAAATAAGAGTGTACTTTTATTAGATTATTGCACTGTAAACTGATGAGACATAATTGGTGAGATAATTTGGATATGTTATCACTTCATAGTTTATTTAAATTATCATGTTGCCATTATCCAAATTAAATTACTTTCATAAGGTTTTGCACATGTTTGGAAACATAACCTTAAACAACTGTGAAATATGGATTTACTCTAATTATGTTGTATGTATTTTACAATTTGGAGTGGCTACATTATAGTGCATTGCATGCAATATTACATATTATATAATGTCTGTCTGTTATTTGTTTACCACAGTGAGGGTGCCAATGCTTCTCTCCATCATGCCATTCCCTGTTCTACGCTCCATGATGTCAAAGATCATCTCAAAGTCTGAGCAGGGTGAGTGAGTTTAAGGCTTTAGAGGAGCCACAAAACCATGTCTGTGTTTGAGTCCACTGAAGAGTTGCCTGTCACAGCAAACTGAAAACAAAGCACTCCAAGTTTCTCTACCTTAGAGTGAAGGGGAATCATTGAACTAAACTGTTTGTTTTTAGCTATCTTGTCAGTGACCCTGCCATATCTTAGTAGTTCTGTTCTATTCTTTCCTGGATGTGTTTTTGCAGGAGCCCTGTTTGCCTGTCTTTCCTTTCTGGAGAGTTTAAATAACAATGTATCAAGCGCAGTCTTCAGCAGTGTTTATGCTGCTACGGTGGCATGGTACCCTGGGTTCATCTTCCTGTTGTCTGCAGGACTCTGTGTCATCCCTTTGTTTCTCCTAGGGTAAGTTCATCCTGTCACCAGTGTAGATAACACAACATTAAATGACCACATTGCTTTTGCATGTTTTATTACAAATGCTATTAAAGCATACAATCACAAATTTCAACAACTAATTTCCTGTTGTACCTACCAGGCTCTCTTGGCCTCATTCACTTTAGTATGCCATAGATATTAAAATGTCACAGCTTGAATTGTGCTTGAGATGGGTCATCCATCAGTGTTTTTGTTTTTTTGTCCAGGTAATGTTTTAACACGTTGCAAGCAGGAACCATTCTCCATTTTCAAAACTCTTCTCATGCATTGTGTCCTTTTTTGCATTAATGATGAATAATTACTTGACCAACACATACAAATACAGTCAGTCTGTTTGTCTTGGTAAAGAGAGATGGAGAACTATTTAATTTAAGCAGAGAGTATTCTAGCCAAGTGGGGTTTTTTTTTTTTTTTTTTTTTTTTCTTTCTACAATAAAAACGGAGCAGTTTGTCGTAGATATGCTTCAGGTGTAGAGCTGTACTCTGTGGCTAGAGTTACATGACAAACTTTTTTCTGCTGAGTCACTATTTGCCAGTTTGGCTTAAGTAGAAAAGAGAAATGCTTTGCTTTAGTTGGGGCTGTCGGCAAACAAGAAAACTCAGTTCCTCATTCCTGCATTTATCATCTGAGTTAGCAAAGTAGTGCTGCTGGCTCCGGTGTAGTGTGAAACAAAACCCCTTAAGTGAACCCACCCCTGTCACATGTACTGCTTCTTCTGTTACATAGTTGGGTAGTTATAGAATAACAAAGCCACTGGTTCAGCAATCTTAATTGAAACCTGTATGTTGCAGCCATTTTTAACATCACTATCCCATTTAATACAGGAAAAAAACAGCACATGTCTTGCTTGCATGTTCCAATTGGGTGTTAGGTCTCGTTGAAACATTGGAATTTTGATAGGTTAAAGTGTTTGGTGGAAATGTCTCTAACTCGGGCAAGCCGGGGCAGGTGTGTAGAGGAAAAAATGTAGAGGAGGCAACTGCCCATTTTAGTTGGAATAGTATAGAGACCGTAATGTATCCCATGTTTGCCTGCTTCTCTTATGCCTGTTATTCCACATTTCAGGGTGGTGGGTCTGATAGGAGTGGATGTTGCCGAAGAGGCAAAACGGGCAGAGCCTGACGTCTCAGGGGAGGAGGATTCTTTTGAAGATCAGAACGACACCAGTCCTCTTAGCAGAGCCACATAGACTGCAGAAATCTCACCAGCACTTAATAAATACAATATATAGCCATTTATTCTGATACCTTTCCAAAAGTACCTCAGTGACTCTTATGTTAATAATGCAGGTTACACATTCATCTCTCTTGAATTAAATAAATGTCAATGTGGTAGCATAAATAGGATATAAAGCATTTCAGTGAAGACATGTTAAGTGACATACATGCATCAAATATAACAGGTCTTTAATTGGGAATCGTGTGTTAGCATTTTCAGACATTATTTATACCTCAAAATGGCCTGACATTACTGCTACACATTGAAAAAGAACTTCACTTTTCATATAGTTTTACAGTGTGATATGATTTGCAATGTGACTTGTCTCTTTGTCTCTCCCTTTTAGTGCAATATTAGTTAATGTCTTTACAGCTCCACTGGCAACCGTTTCTAAGAGGAAATTTAATTCAACACACCAACTATGCAATGTCACACAAATCTTGTTTACTATTTACCATTTTATCTTTCAAACAAGTCTACAATTAGTTAATAAAATGCTAATGATAAAATCTGAAACCCAAAATAAATTAGCAAATATTGTAGCATACTGTACATGTGAATGTCTAAAAAAGGTCAAACCGTGAAGCATGTATCCCCCAGAGCGAGGTTGGGAATTTTAAAAGGAACCAGTCAGTGCTTTTATGCTGTTTTTATGACGCTTTTATTAAAGTTGTCCTCTAACATTAATGTTAGGCGATTGGTATGATAAGGAAGGAAAAGAGCCTTATGATGGCAAAAGCTTTTCAAGTTCAAATGACAAAAAGATAACCATTAAATGTTTAAAGTTAATTAAAGGTTTTTGATGGAAAAATGGTGGGTGGTTTATAAAGTGTGACCAGAATATGTTATTTTTATGTGTCTACCCTTTACTCTGCTACAACTATTAAATTAAAACAGGCAATGACATAGTTTTATTAATTTATTTGTAGTAACCACTATTTTGTTTTGTGAATCAATTCCAAATGTATCATACAAATATAATTGGACACACTTACACAAATATAGTGTGGTTTTTTTGTTTTTTCTTTCTTTTGAAGTTTATCTCGAAAGTGCAAATATTCAAACAATTAAAATGTTTTTCACGTGTGGTATCTATTATCAATTTCCTTAATGTGTATGTTTATGTCTTTGTCTCTCGGCTTAGCTGTAGACCTCTGCATTGCGTCCACATCTCTGAGTTGTTAAATGACTCAAACCGACTTGAAAGAAGTGAAACAAAATGATAAATCTGATAATCAGGCTGCCCCTTCCCCACTCTGTGCTTAGAGTTCAGTTGCAAGGTTAGTTTTTCTGTAGTCACAGATTCACCAGTCAGCGGTGACAAAATAAAATACATTCATTTTTAGGTTGTCTTTAAAGTTGTGGGTGTTTATGGCATGAGTTATTTAAATATGTATGCTGTTTCCCATGCAGCTTAAGAACAGAACATTGTAAGTGATGTTGTATTTTATATATTAGCCACTAGGTGTCACTCTTGGTCTAGGCTTACAGGCACACTGACATGCTACCCCCAAATGTCATCAGCCAGTAACAGACATGTAAAGCCCAACATAAAATACCCAGCTATTGTAGACATGGTAATAAAGAAAATATGTTATGTTAGGATATGTTTTTAATCCTGTAAGCCGTCTTAAATAGATGAAATTGTTAAAGATATTAATGTAGCTGTAAATCTCTTATATGTATTCACTCATTTTCATTAAAAATGCTTAAGTGTACCCTGCTCTAGATTCCCTGTTTTTTTTTTTAAAGCTACAAAGGGACTATTGAAAACTCTATAGGTTTAACTATAACAAACTTAATTATGTTGTCAGCACAGACATGGTTTAATTTAATGGTCTGATAATTAGTTAAGAGCTTTCTCCACACAACATCATGTTCCTAATACTAGAAAAATGTAATTTTTGAGCAGAATGTAAGTTGCCAAGTGCAATTAATATCTAAAAATCTATCTAAATCTAATCTAAAATGGTTGGTGACTGATTCCTGTTGATTAAAGTGAAATAAAGTCTGCCTTTTTCCCACTAATGCAACACTTCAGTTTTTAACTTGACACTGAAACATCATTTGTCTCACACCTCAAAGTTATTGTATGTGATTTTCCTGTACCGAATTTTCCAAGGTTCCCACCTCCTTTCTTTATCCTCTACAGAGAGCGGTCATTATTGTGCGTGCATGCATGCATGCATGCATGTGAAACCTATTTTTCTTAGACTCGCCCTGTCTCTGTGAGATTCAAGGAGAATGTGTAAGCATGCAAATGTCCTGCGGATGATGAATGGACATCAGAAATCCTGGCAGGCATCCCATCAGATTGCATGCTTAGTTACTGGACCACTGTGTTAGTGTGGAAACAGAGAAGCATGTAACCAATGTCTGCCACCACAAAAGATATATGAGATGATGTATACAACCCTCACATGAATATGCCAAATAAAATCAGATTAGACATTCACATGATGCATCATGGGTATACTTATCAGCTCAGCTTTAAATCGGATCTGTTTGTTACTGGGATGTTCCGTCTGCACATTGATTCTATCTGTTAAAATGTGACTTACACAGGAGCATGGGAATCCCCCATGAGAATGGACACTAGCTGTGGAAAAGGTAAAAACTAAAAAAATCATTCAAGACAAATACAACTTGGATTAGCTTGTTTGAACTGAGGACCAAGCTGGTTTGGTGTGAAACCATGTAACAGACGTCCTCACACTTAAGATAGAAAAAAAAATCCTGTTGCTTTTGAACATTGTTAAGCAGAAACATGCCAGTGAAAGTGTTTGCAACCCTCCACCCCCCACTTTTAAATTTACACACGGTACGTCAGTTTGAATTGGCTTCATTCACGGAAACCCAAATGACGTCTGATCTTAATGTGCAGTTATTTGATTTCCACCCTTAAGTCCTGAGAGCCTTGACTGCAGCTTGATTGTAAGGTAATGTTGACGCTTAGTTTGAATAAAGCTCTCAGCGCTGGAGGTTACACGAGGGATCATCTGAGGCAAAGCCTGCTTGGCTCCAAACATGAGGTTTCTGGTTAAATTAGAGATGGAGGTGTGGTGAGCAGTGACGAGAGTTTGCTAGCGAGGGGACGGTTTTCCCAGGGGTGAGGAGCTCAGGAGGAGAGGGCCGTGGTGGTGGCTTGTGTGCGTCTGGTGTGCATGGGGTCGTTGAGGATTAAAGGGAAGTTTGGTTGCGCATGGAGGCAGGGGATCGAGGGTCTTTAGTTTCTGGTTTCCAAACTAGCTGATTCAGCAGTATGATCATCTGCACCACATCACATCACCAATAGCTCCATCTCTGATGTTGATCCAGTAAGTTGCTAACAGACCTCTCTTTATCTCAACCTTCTGCTCCCCCCGGAGAAGATAATTCACTATAATATAAAAACCCATTTGAGGTGGTTTGCGTGACTGAAGCTATAGCGAAGGGAGGAATAGAGGGGCTTCCCAGTCTGGAGTGATTTCATCATTTGAGGATGGTTTGATCACACCAGGATCCTCTGAATATTTATTTTCATTCTCAGTTTTCATATACAGGCTCAATAGCACAGGGAATTAACTACACTGTAAGACTGACAGTTATTATGAATGCGGGTTGATTTTGATTTCTTTCCTTTCTTGTTCTTTTTTTTTTTTCACCCCAGAGAAGAGAGATTTTGCAGACCACAAAAGCTGTTTATGAGCTGTTTTCTACACGTCAGTTGCTTAGAAACTGCCTTATACAGATAAATTGCCCTATTCAAAAAAATTATCTTACTGTTTCAAGTAATCAGCTTCACTGGAGCAGATGCAGCTTGAACACTTCCCATCTTGACAGTTGAGGTAGTGCAGAGTATTATCTACACACATTTTCCCAGGCAGGTTATGAATTTTATGGTTGCATGTCTGCTTCTCTGCGCTCTTAATAAGCCTAGGGTTTGCTGTTTGCAATACCACAACTACGACTGTACCAGTCCTTGCACTGATCCTTTTCACTCCATTTGTGTGGGTATACATCATAGATTAACAAACCTACAATCCTATATAGACGCTTACAATACATTTACAAGCTGTTGTACATTATTTGATTGTAGATGTACAGTTTTCCTTCAACAAAGGTCACACTGCTGTGTTGGTCTTCTCCTGCTGGCAGACTTGCCATGCACTGTTGATGATGTGCGTTGGTTAAGTGTATTCTTTTCTGATGCTCTGATCATCCGATGCGCCACACATGTTGTCAATGTGTGTGTTTGTGTTGTAGCTTGTGTGAGTGCTTAGCTGGATGTTTGTCAGAGGTCCAGCTGTGCTTTTCTTTATGAAGGGTTACAATGTCTTACGTCAAACAATCTTCACATTAGTTTTTGGATTTCCAACTTTCCCCTCAATCCCATTGCATGATTGACCCTGTTCTTTGATTTATCCGTTCCTAGCGCTGGGATCAACACATACGCCTACCTGTTTCTCTCCCATCTGGATCGCATGGCTTCATGTGGTTACCCACTCCTTCCACAGATGTCTTTTCCCTGTATTAGCTTTAATGTCGATTCCCCTGTCGACCTCCCTTCTCCACTTCCTCCTTATTTTCTCTCCACTACTTCACTTAAGATAATTGACTGGCTTTTTTATGATCTGTTTCAAATATAGATCAGTAACTGCAGTTATTGGCACACGCCTTAACCACAAACCCCTCTTCTCTCCTTCTCTTTTGCCATCTCCTTCTGACTCCAGAAGTGGTTTTACAGTCAAATTTCACCTCCCCCGCCCTGCATATCTACAGTGTGTCTCGCCTGCCCGCTTCCAGATACACTCAGACACACAAATACATCAGCAGTCAAATACCAGTATCTTCATTCAGCTGCTTTATTGCCTTCTAAAGTGCAATCACACTACACAGCAACACAGGACCAATTTTAGAGGGAACGCTGAAACACACACACACCAACAGCTGGCCTAGTTTTCATCCATTTCAAAATTAGTAAAATACCTTTGAGCTCTAAGTTTCATCCATTTCTTATCAAATCTTTTATCACTTTTATCTCTTTTTTATTAGCCCATATGTGATATGTGAAAAAAAGGGTTTTTAGTCCTTTGTATGTCAATCTTTGAATGTTAGCTGGCAAATATTAATATTTATAACAATTGTCACTTTAAATTGCTGAAGGCCACACCTAAATAGATGTGGTAAAGGTTTCAGATTTGATAAAGGGATTAATTACTAGATTTAAACTACAGTCAAACCCAACACAGCCACTATTGACTGATGAAGTCTCTGTATTGCAGCTTGTCTGACTGCCAGGGATAGATAAAATCAAAGTATAGCACTAATGGTAGCTTTTATGGGTGATATGAAAAAAATGTTGAACTATTATCATGTCTAAAATTATTACTCTATTGGTAGTATCTTCATAATATTATATTGCTAAAATAACACACACACACACACACACACACACACACACACACACACACACACCACACCATTTTTTTTAATGTTTGTGCTGTTGCATCAAGGCATGCTCCCTTTCATATAGGCAGTCATTTTCTGTGAACATGGTGAGTTATAGTGATTATTATCCCACCCCTTCTTTGGAGGACCAAGCTGAATGATGTAGTATGTCGCTGCCACCCTGCTGAGACCACAATGATTACAATTAAGTGTGTGAAGGCTCTGAATGTCATTTGCGCAAAGCACCGTTCCTGTCTTTTGCCACGTTGGCTGATGGTAAGCTGGAATCTTAAAGAATGGCAAACCCCCACATCTCCAGAACAGTGGCTACAGAAAGGTCACTGTGACAATCAATACACTGCTCTCCGTTTGCCTGGTTCTGCTTCAGAGCATCAGACTAATCAGCCTGCTGCCCGCATTGGAGGAGACGTCAGGACCTGATAATCAGAGAGGAATTGAATGAAGAAGGCTTGACTAACCGTCGTACATGGGCCACATATAGTGTCTGTCCTTTGAAGGGATTACAGTGAGCATTATTGATCCTTCTGGCACTATCCTTGTCATGGTTTCTTTGCAATCGTCACTATTCTTCACATTTGAGGAGTCCAGATTCTTCTTTTTTTTGGTCTCTTGTCTCAAATTTCCTTGTGACAGTTTTATTGTCTCTTTGGGTATATTAACAGCTTCATGTGTCTTAAGTAGATTCACACTAATTGCATTTGGTTCACACAGACACAAGCACACAAACTGACTAAGAGAGATATCTCTGGTCAAATCAGAAGCTCTCAGTTTCACTCTAACATTACAGGAACCACAGAGCCAGTAATCCTTCTGTTTAGCCACATTGGAAAACAGTAAGCCAGCATGCTGTGGAGTGATGTCTGAGTACACAGTCCCATCTGTATTTATCAGATTTTCTCTGACCCAACCCATGCCTCTGTTCTTCGCAATGAGCTCATTTTTTTTTACAGCCTGCAATTGGCTATGTCTGGTTTTCACTGGTCTATTAATAGGCATTTTCATTTCACTTTGCATTAGCACGGTTTCCTCAGTGCACACAAGCATAAGGTTTCTGATTATGGCCTCGGAGTGGATATTGCTCACAAAACAAGTTCAAAATCAGTATAAGCAGCACATAATATATGGAGCTTTTATCTTACAGATCTCCAGAAATTAAATGTCTTGCTACATTCAGTCTCTGAACACATAAACACATCAACACATGAAATAATAAAATCAAAAATGGCTGGTCATATATTAAAGGATAAGTCTGGTGTTTTTCCATATCTTTGT